AATGGTCCTTGAGGTCTCGACTTTGATCCAGGATCTTCAGAAGGACTTGTTACTCAAGTTGACATACTTTTGGGTCTCCTTTGATTATCACCAACCCTGAACCTCCTAAACCCCAAACCCAAACCGAGCCTACGATGCCACGCACACAGACACACACTCCCAGCTTTCTCCTCCCCATCACCGTGCTGGCTTTGTACATGGCTAGGATCAGATTCGGGCTCGTGCAATATACGTGCTTGACAAAGGGTTTAGGTTTAGGGGTTAGGTGTATAAAGAGAATACAGACGCTCTATGGGATGTCTGTGCTCTTTTTTGATATAGTGGCCTAAATGCCTGCAGTACGGCTGGCGTGCTACAATTGAAACGGTGTAGCAGCAACAGAGTGGCAAGACTAAGAAATGCAGACCCAATGATATGTGCGAACCCCCGCCGAGGAAACATGAAAATACCCATAAGGGAGCCCGAATTGTGGAATCTACACGGTGAGGGATGCACCAGCCGAGTCAGCACTTCAGCGCCCCGATTGCGCATATGTAAGTACAGGAATGTTCCATGTGGCCTCTGTGGGGAGGGGTCAGAATATCGATCACATCTAATGCCACTGCTAATCCTGCTAAACAGGAGTGTTGAAAGCGTATTTATGGTCATCGAACACATCAATCAGACCTGTGGTCGTACCACGACAATCACCAGCAGCTATGTAGTCCTCGTCATCCTCGTCCTGCTCGCCTCCTCCTCTGCCTTATGAAGAACACTAGAACCATCATCATTATAATCATCATCATGTCTCGTCATCGTCATCCTCATCCTCATCGCCATCATCGTCATCATCATCACCATAATCACCATCATCACCATCACCACCATCACCAGCATCATCAACATTATCATGATCCTGATCATGATCCTCTTCCTCATCCTCGTCATTATCCTCATCCGAATCCTCATCCGTCCTCATCACCACCTACGGGGACAGAACCATCGCAATCACAAGATGTCGTGCTATCGGTTGATGATATAAATCCTTTATTACCTTAAGGACCCTAAACTATGGGAATTATGGTATATTCCTTGTTAGGGGTAATGCAGGATTTATATCATCAACCGTAGTAGGCTTTATGGCACGGCTGATGTTGATGGTCTTGGTTGTAAATGCTTCTCACGTCGCGTCCATCTTCAAGATCAAGATTGCGGCGGCTCTTGCTGTATTGCAAAAACTGACTTATGTGGTCTACTTCATAGATCAGGGGGTTTGTAAGCAGGGCCAGAAGCGCAATTAGCATTCTGAGCAAGTCCACGGTATATCCATGGCCACCTGGCTTGTAAACCTACTTACAAGTTTGCTGATGCTCTACCTACGGCTTGGAGCCGGGGCCTCTATGCACAAGAACGACTTAAAGTCTTATAGTTAGAGTCGTGGTTGAGGGGTGTATTTTCGTACTTGAACTTGTAATAAGTAACCTTAAGGCACAATATATCTATTCAGGCTTCCTTTGCTACCCAGAGACAAAGAATCTGACCGCTTTGAAGGCTTGCTATGGTGGTTCAGGGATTCTGACTCAACAAACACAAGCTCTCCAGAGAAACCCCTGAACCCATACACCTTGAATGTGGAGAGGTACATGTTACCACCCAGGGCCTAGAGCCCCCCACCTTCCGGGGTGGTGTATATCATGTAGGTAGTAGGGTCCCGATAGTACGGCATCCTTATGAAAAAGAACCTCCAAAGGGACCCTGATTTAGAGAACTATACCCACATGTTGCGTCCAGAAAAGGCCAAGCTTCGGCGCTGAAAATTCGACAGGCTGGCGTCTTACGTTCAGAATGGGTAAGGTCGGCCGCAGGTCAAGCATACTTGCGGTATGGTTTAGGATTTAGGGTTTAGGGGTGTTTTCCTCCAGGAATCAGGCCGTAAAAATACCGTAACCGTAAGACGCACATTAGAGAAGGGCCTATCTGTCCCTTAGGCTCCGTGTACCCAAATAGTGTATTCCCAAAGGCCCCAAAGTAGTTCCTTTTTGGGGTTCATATATAGAATCCTATAAGGTAATCCCGAAAAAAGGAACTACTTTGGGGCCTCTGGGTACTTTGGCTCCAAAGTAGTCCTTATATAGGTACTTTGGGGCGAAAGTATATACTAGCTGGGTACGTGGACCCTTAGGGTGTAGCACTGTGGAATGTCGACCGACCTCACTGGGGGTGAGACTTAGCTCTCATGCATCGCACATGAAGCTCCGCGGATTTCAGGCATAACCAATGGGGCCTAAAGAATTGCACTATTACCAATACCATCTTGGGTGTTCCTTATTTTCAATATGGTATAGTGTAATTATTAATGCCCCTCTATTACGGGATCTTAAGACTTCTAAACCCTGGTTCAGGAATGAAGGCTTGCAGTTGAGGCTTTTCAAGCATAGGGTTCTAGGGCTTCTATACTGAACTTAGAACCCTAGCAACAATTTTCAATTTTAGCTGTTTCTTAGGGATTAGAATAACCAAAAATAAAAAAAAATATTTCTAAGTACCCCTAAGGTTTGCAGGGTTTAGCGGGCTCCAGGGCTTTCGGTTTTCAGGGCTGGGGTTTCAGGGTGGCTTCATAGAGGGCGAACCTCACGTTCATGGCTTCGGGCATCCCCGACCCCTAGCAGGCTTGGAGTATCCTCCGGCAATCTGCTGGGCTCTTGATTGTTTCAGTTTAGTTTACGTCAACAGCATCGGGAAGACTTCATCATTGTGCTTCGATAGCGACAATAGCGACTGAAGCCTTGAGTTTTGCAAGACACCATAAGACCTTAGGTACTGCCCATACAGTAAGAGTCTATAATAGGGCTACTATCAAGGTCCTGATATATCTGTATTATGAAGAGTATTCAACTATTAATGAGTGGGGGCCGTACCTAAATAAGACCCTTCTTCATGCCCTCTGAAACCCTCACAAAGATTGCTATTCCTGCAGGTCCCCAACAAGAGCCCATGTGTCGGTCATCCGCTGTGGAGGTTCTTCCGGGTGACCATGTTGTCCCGCAGAAGAGGCGACCTAGCTGGGCACCCCTTCAAAAGGGCTTTGCATCAAGGGTTTAGGGCTCTGGGGTTTAGGGCCAGGGCTTTAGAGTTGTTTAGAAGGTTCTGCGGCTTGCGGTTTAGGGTTTGGAGATTCCTTGCAGCGAAATTCACTGCGGTTTGGGTTCAACGGCCAGTCGTTTGTCTGTACAGGAAGTCATTTTTAAAAAGTGCTCAATTTTTTTAAGAGCCCATCGCATCCCCAACCCCTAGCCCACATGACAGAGGGGCAAATGCGTGGGATCTGGAGCGCCCTCAGACCGAATCTCTATCGCAACAAAACCTCCTGAAAGCCTTAGGGTTTGGGTTTAGGGTTTAGGGTTTAGGGTTTAGGGTTTACGGTTTAGGGAGCAGCAACATCCTGCACCTTATCATGCGCAATCCTAGAACTCCCAGTATCATCATCATGCAAGAGTAACAAGTAACAGAAACAGGCAACATAATGTCGGTAAACCACATCAAGAACCCTCAGCCCCAGACTCCCATAATGCATGTGTATACATATATATATATATATATATATATATATACACACACATATACGCACACATACATACATACGAACGTATACATACATACAGATACATACACAGAAGGAAATGGAAGCACCGTGCTGCCCTAAAGCGCTGAACACTCCACGCACGCCCTAAGCCAGAGAACCTCCAAACACACAGAACAAAAACTGCACCCTAAACCCTAAACCCGAGAACCAAAAGAAACTCAAAGATCCCGACATCAATTAAGGGGAGAGTCCCCGGAAGCCTCCAACAAACTTTCGATGGCCTGAACACCCAACGCCAATCATAAAAGGACAGTGGCGGAATACTGTCCTGTTCCACCCGTGTAATTAGTAATAATACTGTAGAAAGCCTTAGAATACCCTGTAAACCGCGATAGCAGCCCAGACATAAGACTCCGAAGGGGTTTCTTCAACGGTAATATCGTAATTCGTATTCAAACTATGAGAAGGAAAAATCCCAAAACGATACCGACGCCACATAACCTAAACAAAAAGAGAACCTGTAAAGGAACCCTGAACCCCTAAAGCATCAACCCTAAGCATATTCATCCCCTAACCCACAAAAACAGGAACCCTAAACCCCGAAACCAGAAACCCTGAATCTTCTGCCCTGAACCCCTAAACTAGGCCCTAAATGGGAGTTTCCGAAAATTCGGGGGTAGCTTATTTTGGGGTCTTCATAAGGATCCTACCATTTACGGTGCTTTTTTATTGGGTCCCCTAATTCTCGGAAACCCCTATATAAACCCTGAACCGTTCCAGGACCCGAACACCATCTTTCGCTTGTGCTTGGCTTTCAGCGACCTTCTTCTTCGCTTCGTCGCCTGGGAAGGGGCGGTCGGGATTTCTCTGCTCTGGCTTTTGGGGGTTTAGGGGCTCCTTTTTAGGGTTTCTTGCAGGGTTCCTTTAGAACCTTGAGGTTTTTTGTTGACGGGGGGGTTTGGGTTTAGGGTTTAGGCCTTTAGAGCTTTGGGTTTGGGCTTTCGGGCTTGGGTGTCTCGGGCTTTAGGCTTAGGGTTATGAGCTTACCCAAAGGACCCAAAGTAGTTCTTTTTGGGGGTTCATATATAGACTTCTATAAGGTAATCCCAAAAAGGAACTACTTTGGGGCCTCTGGGTAAGGGTTCAGGGATAGGGCTCACAGGAGCCACTCCAATCCAGCTGAGTCGAATTTTTCGAGTCCGAAGTCACCAGCACAACTTGGGCTGAATAATCAGTAATACGGCTGATGATATAAATCCTGCATTACCTTAAGGATCCTAAACTATGGGGATACCGGTATATTCCGTATTATGGGTAAGAACTTCCTGGCCCCTCTATGATTGTTATGCTAACAGAATTTCTTTACAGCTCCTGTAGAATTGTATGATGACCATGGAACTCTGTAATTTCGTCCTTATAAGTCCTAAGACTGAAAATTCTAGTACACTGCGCACCGGAGTCCGCTAGCCTCCAAGGCTGTCTCAGGACGAGAGGGCCTCAGATGTATGGGGTCACAGGTGACCGCGTGTAGGAGATGGGCTTGGAGGATATAGGGGCCTTAATGTAGGGTTTAGGGTTTCGGGTTTAGGGTAAAGGGGTATAAGATACCAGAGTTAAACAGTAATAGCCCCCCAAAATAGAATTATATTAGATGCTTTAGCTGGTAAGGATTTAGAAATGCGTAAGGCTTAGAAATTGAAGGGTTTGGGGCCTACAAGGGCTCAGGATGTTGGCATGTAGCACTCTTAAGTTTTCGGTCTTGGACTAGTATGGCTGAAGGCCGCTTGGGATTACCTATAGTCTCCATTGTAGTTCCTTTCTTTGGTTTAACCAAATATATAATAAGGATCCTATAAGGTAACCCCAAAAAGGAACTGCAATGGAGACTACAGGTAGAGCTCAGAAATTCGCACGGTATGTCTTGGGGAGTTGTCGCACCTATCACGCGGTGGGGTTCGTCTCGCCTCACAGCACCAAACATCTCGTTGAATGTGCCCAAAGGCCCCAAAGTAGTTCTTTTTTTGGGTTCATAAAAACAAAAGAATTCTATAAGGTGATCCCAAAAAGGAACTACTTTGGGGCCTCTGGATACCTTCATTCTCCCGGCCTAGACCCAAAATCCAAGACCCTCTCGTAACCGGGGCTGAAACCCCAAGCCCTGTATGCGGTTCCTTCGGCAACCAAAGTATCCAATTTACAACAGTGGGGCTGCAGTTCAGGTTTACAAGACAGGTGCACTAGGATGGAACGAGGATTCGACGACTCCACAACAGTTTTGAGGTTTAGGGCCATTACAACACAGAGGGCTACAGCTTGCCTAGTCAATTGCTACAGTATAAACGTGGTAAGAAGCCCAGGCCCCAACATCAGCTATAAGAGCCACAGTATCTACATTTCCCACTACCCCTACTTGGCCCTGCACAGCTGGAGGACATCAAAAAACTGACATGTTGCATAAAACCTTGTACGCATACTCGGCATAATCAGCATTACAAGCAAACCTTGGGGAACATGCGAAACCCCAAGCCCTGCGGTGAAAGGAACCTTTACTAAAACTATCAGCAGTCTAGTTGCAAAGGAGTGGTGTTGGTGGTGTTGGTGGTGCCGAACACCCTAAACCCCAACACCCTCATAGAGCCCTTCGTGAGCGCCCTGTCTTTCGGGACACACGGCAAGGCCGTGCAGGACCCAGGTCGGCATCGCATTTTAGGAGGCCTCAACCGAAATCCAACCCTATGCCCTTAACCCGCAAGCCGCTACAGTGTCCGCTACAGAATTTAGACACCCGAGAGACGAGTGCTTGATCAAACCATGTTACCGGACCCCTTAAAACGTGTAGAAACCCTGCTAACACGCTCGAGAGCTACTTCGAACGAACTCAGACCAATGGCTCCTAAACCCTCCAACCTCAATCAACCCGGAACCGTAAAACCTAAACCGTGAAACCCTACTATCCTAAACCCTACTATCCTAAACCCTACTATCCTAAACCGCGAAACCCTTCTCTCCTAAACCCTCAAAACCCCGAGATGTGACCCCTGAACCGCCAAACCCCACAACCCCAAACCCTCAAAATCCCTGAAACAGAAGCCTGAAACCCAAACCCCTAAACCCTAAAATTCAAAAGCCCCAGAACCTGAACCGGCCCTAATATAAGGGTCGGAACAAAATCGAAATCATGTCCCCTTGTAGCCTCTCTCCAGTTGCTAGCTTTGCTGTAATATACCCCGAACCCTGCTCTAATTGAGAAGGCCGCCCCCGAAACCCTAAGCCAAATAATACAGGGGGCTTAATGATTAGAACAGGATTCCGGGTGTTCCTTTTCACCTTCTAATGTACCCCGCCCCCCAACAAAAAAAATGAGAACCACACACGCACACACACACAACAAATATTCTAATTATTACCCAGAGGCCGCAATGTAGTTCCTGTTGGGGATTACCTTGTAGGATTCTATATATGAACCCCAAAAAAGAACTACTTTGGGGCCTTTAGGTAAGGCCCCTATAGTTAAGGCCCCCTATGTAACCAGGGAGCAGGAGACCCCGTCGGAGAATGGAGCTTAGCCGATCTCTCACCGCGCTGGCCTGCTTTCAAGAGCTATAGGGTTCAGGGTTGAAATTAATCCCGAATAACCTACCTTTTTAGGGACTAAAAAGGAAGAAATCATAATAAGGAACCCTAAAAAAGGTAGGTTTTTCAGGGTTAGGGGAGGGATTAAGGAGGGGACCCCTCAAGCAGCGGATGCTCTGGAAGGGTTGACTGCCCTTTCCAGAGGCTGGGTCGCTCTTGCCACCGCCCCTTGCCCTGGCTGGCAGGCTTGCCGCCAAGGTCGTCGCGGCGTTTCGGGTGATAGGGGTACACGGAATGGTTGGTCAAGAAACCACACCAAGTTAAAGGCCCAGCGGCCTTGACTGTACCCATGGCGGCGTACCCGGTGGCGTCCAAGTCATCCGCAAACCATGCACGTTTGAGACAGGCATCGGAGGCGGGTTGCGGGGAGGGGTCGTCGACCTTGGCTGATGAAAAGTTAAAGGCCCTGCTGCTGCACCTTGGCCTTTGCCAGGGCAGAAGGGTCTGGGCCCTTTCCTTTGTTGGGCCCTCCCGGAAGCCAAGCACTTCTGGTTCGAGGGCCAGTTGACCTGGTGTGGCCTTCTTCTGTTACTGCTGCGAGGAGGATGACGTTGTTGCTGTTCTATCTGGAATCAGCAACCGGTCAAGTGCTTACGTCTTCTTGCTGTCATCATCCAATCCAAGCCTGCTCTTATGCCCTATACCACCCAAAAAAATCGTTCAAAACACCCTTAGCCTTAAATCCCCAAGATTCTGTCTCAGTGCCCTGAACTCTAAACCCTAAACCCTATAACCCCCAACCCCCAAACCCTATACCACGTCCTTGAACTCTTAACCGCCGAAGCCACCTTCAAGCCCAGGGCACGGCTTGGCAAAGCCTGAAAGACCGCACTCGGGCTACTAAGGCTTATAGGGTGGAGGGCTTAGGGCTTAAGGCTTGTAGGGCTTAAAACCCCAAACCCTGAACCCTAAAACCCTAAACCCCCAAAAAAACCCAAACCCCGAAAACACCCCAAACAGAAACCCCAAAACCCTTACAGGCTTCACAAACGCGAAGCCCAAGGCCTTGATAAACATCACATACTCACCAAAATCCTCACCTACGTAACTACTATCCTAAAGCTGACCCTAAACCCTAAACCCAACTATTGCGTCCTTTGCACCTTTGGGGTAACAAACAGGAAGCCCAGGCCTTGAGAGGCATCAGGGCCTCAAACCCCTAAACCCTTAAACCCCTAAACCCCTAAGCCCTTACACCCATAAACCCCTAAACCCCAAAGCCCCTAAACCCCTAAATCCTAAACCCTGAACCCTAAACCCCTGAACCCCTAAACCCAGAAAAAAACTCAAAAACCCCTAAGCCCCTAAACCCTCCAAAAACGAAGCCGAGGCCTTGATAGGCATCTTCCTCAGCTGGCCCGTCGCCTCTAAATCCGGCACGGCCAACTCCTGCCCCAGGCGGTTTTGCTTAGGGATGACTCTAGGGGCCGTAGTAATTAGACTAGGGGTCCCTTTAACGAGGTCTATCAGGGCTACTATAAGAGTACTCTATCATAGGGGCTTTAATAATTTGACTAAGGGTCCCTTTAAAGGGGTCTATAAGGGTTACGACAAGAGTACTACATCATAGGGCTAGACTAGGGTCCCTTTAAAGGGGTCTATAAGGGTTACTATAAGAGTACTATATCATAGGGGCCTGAATAATTAGACTAGGGGTGGGGTCCCTTGAAAGGGTCTAGAAGGGTTACTATGAGGGATACTATAAGGGCTCTATAACATATAGAGGCCTCAACAATTAGAGGAGGGTTCTGGGGCCCATTGTACTGCAATAACAATAGTAATAATCACGAGCCCGCAAGATAGTATTGGTAATTATTTAATAGTTAGGCCCCTATAGTCCTATAGTACTGTTGGAGGTTGAAGGCTCTTTTGAAGGGCTCCGTTAAGGGCCGAGGGCTCCAGCTATTCGTGCTGTAAGCTTAGGCTCGGAGTACTGGTCGGGGTCCTCAATCGCAGAAGGCTTCGGGCTATGTCATGCTGACCACTTGCATGGATTGGATTGCAGAAGAACGGTACTAATCACTCGGAAACCTCAAGCACACCACGCTCGCCTTCTTCGCAAACCGCCTCCAAAACCCTAACTCTTTTCCTTCAAGTTTCGACTGTCGGCGTTGAAAAACTGCAAGTTCCAGCCATTGCATCAACAAGCTCTAAGCTCGCCACACGTAATGACCAGGGATCAAGCATGCGAAAGCCGCAAAACGTAGATGGCCCCAAATCATCCTAACTCTATGTATGTGTTGTGGGAACAGATATTGGGAGTTTCCGACAATAGGTGACCCTAAAACAGTACCCTGAATGGTGCGATCCTTATAATAAGGATCCCCAAATAAATAAGGTACCCCGAATTTTCGAACCCTCTAGATCCTTAAACTTGCTCCAGCCCAGAGGCATGGGTCAGCATGAGAGCTCAAGGACCTGTTCGTCATATACTCACCAAAATACTGGCATGCAATCCTAAACCCTACCACCCCGAACCCTGAGCCCTAAGCCCGAAACCCTAAGCCCTAAACCCTAAGCCCTGAACCCTAAGCCCTAAGCCCTAAGCCCTAAACCCTAAACCCTAAGCCCTAAGCCCTAGGCCCTGAACCCTAAACCCAAAGGAAGAATACACATTCACCGACCACGAGCGAAGACTTCGCGTCCTCCTCAGGAGCTTTGCCTCTACCAAGCCTGGAGTCGTGGTCATGAAGGTTTTAGTTTCGACTCCAGGGCTTATAGGGACCCAAAAAAGCACATAAGCATAAGCATTTTGTGGGGATATCCCTACCTTTTTGGGCTTCGTCATAAGGGGGTTTATATGGGACATGCCTATCCTATTTTTTGCTTATGTGCTTTTTTGGGGCCCCAGCTTAAGGTTTCAAAGTCTAGGGTTTATAGGCTTTCGGGTTTAAGGCTTAAAGTCTAGGGCTTATAGCCGGGTTTAAGGTTCAGGGTTTATAGGCTGTGGGGATTAAGGTTTAGAGTTCATAGGCTTTAGAGTTTAGGGTAAGTTTCGTGTTTTGGGCGTGCACCTTCGTAGACCCCGTCTTCATAGAAGCCATACCATGCGGGTAGTCCAAAGAAGGGCCCCCGTTTAGGTCACCCCCCCAACTTGCGTGGCACCCTATAGAAAGGGTTCGCAAGCGGACCCTAATTTAGAGAACTTCCGGCAAATCAACTAGAATAAGCACCATCATTGAAAACCCGAGCCCAAAAACTCAGTAGACATCCAATCCCTGGCTCCTAAACCCTGATTTTTCTGGAGTTGGCTATCGTTCCCTGTTGGATACACTGTGTCGTGACCGCTGCGGCATGGCAGAGAGAGTCAGAGAGACCACCCAGGGCACCGACCCCCCGCCCCCGCCTCAATAGAGTGCCGGGTTGGGGGTTTGAAATCATGAAATCAACCAACGGGGGGGGGGGGGGGGTGTTATGATCAGGAACATAAATAACGGTAGGTTTTGTACTACATACAAAACCTAGCTCCGGTGTGTTCCCATCTAAAAGAACTAGCCAAGTAAACGGCACAAAGAGCCCGGTAGCTTTCCTCCTACATGGCCTGATGCTTCAGAACAGCTCTAACGGCTGATGATAGAGATCCTGCATTACCTTAAGGACCCTGAACAACGGGAATGATGGTATATTCCTTATTATGGTCATGCAGGATTTATATCATCAACCGAAGCAGTTTACGATGACAGCTCACCAACTCCCCGGCGCGTCCCCTAGGCAAGCTGTCCCGCCGATCTGGTAAGAGGGCTTAGGGCACCCTTGTCCTTTTAGAAATAATAGACAGAGCCCTATACCTATATCCCTTAGTAGGAATTATTTAAGAAGGTCTACTAGCCGGTCTGTTTATTCTTTTGGGGTAACCATGAAAAAGGACAAGGCTGGTTTAGGGTTATAGGGTTTAGGGTTACTTGGTGGACTTCTGAACCCCTCCTAAAAGTTAAACTTCTAGCCTCCTTATTATGGTTCATATAGAAACTCAAAAAAGTTAAAGTCTCAAGAGCCAACCAGAAGAACGCCAAGGTTAGGGGTTTAGGGATTAGGAGTCGGACGAAAAGCTCCAGGACCCCGTTAAATCCTATACGACGATGGAACCAAAACCCCACAGCCCTAAACCCAACCTCATGAACACCCTAACCCCCAAAGGGCTCACAACCAAACAGCTAAACCCTAAACCCCCAACACTCCTCACAAGCTGCTGAACATAAGCCTCAACATAGGGGCTTGATAATAGGAACAGTGTTCTAGCATACATGTATCAATGTTTAACTATATAGCAGGTTTGCAAGGGATAGTGTGGGCTTCCTGGTTCAGAGTCTGTTATACTATTGCTGTACCCCAAAACCCTGTTCCAATTTCTAAGGCCCCTATGTTGCTACACTGGGTCTAAGAAAGGCCCGCACCTCGTTTTGGCATCCATTGTCCCCAGGGTCTCCTCCAGCTCCCGGCGTTTTCGCCGTAGGGACTCCCGGTACCTTGGGTTACGGGCTGATTCGCTTCCTTCTAAACTTGAGTTGCATCGCTCGCCAATATGTTTCAGAACAGGTCGGATAGTTGGGGTTCCGGGTTTGGGGTGTCTCGGTTAAGGTCCCATCACATCTAAAGTACCGACACAGCACGTGTTCCAGGTGTTCGTCACTGACAGGTACAGCTAGTCAGGCTTCGGCTTGAAGTGTGCGCTAAAGCCTAAACCCATGCATGTGTTAAGACTTCGGGGTGTGGAGATGCGGGAGCTAGGCATTTGGATTTTCACCTGCTCGTTAAGCAATGCGTCCCAAATAATCCGCGGGGCCTGAGCGATTTTAATGCGGTCTGCTCGGATATCAGGAGCACTATGACCCAAAGGGTCATAATAAGGAGCCACCAAAATTGTATTGGAATTACTCAGCCCTATATGACCCAAAGGATCCTATGTACCGATATAGTAGAATGTCGAGTTTCCATATTAAGAATTACTATGATGACTTAGGGAAGTATCCCCCATAACAGTACAAAGGACCCTTTGGGTAAGGAGATACCCTGTCCTGAACAATACCGACCCCTAAGCCCTAAACCTTATAAGACAGCGTTGTTGGACCTGCGCCTTCGGGTTCTGACTCGACTCTCTACCCAGAGGCCCCAAAGTAGTTCCTTTTTGGGATTACCTTATAAGATTCGATATATGAACCTCAAAATGGAACTTCTTTGGGGCTTTTAGGGTATCCCCTAAACCCTAAACCCTAAAAGCATCTACTTTGGGGCTTTTAGGGTATCCCCTAAACCCTAAACCCTAAAAGCATCTACTTTGGGGCCTTTGGGTAACCCCTAAACCCCAAAAGTAACTACTTTGGGGCCTTTGGGGCCTTTGGGTAGAGCCTGAATCCGAATCTGACTCCATAAACCCTCGGCCCTGCAACCGACTTCTAAGAAGTTGAGACCCTAGGGCTCCATGTACCTTTATAGCAGATACTTAAGCCTTACTTGGAGGGTCGGGGGACTTAGTAAGTAGGTAGTAAGTAGACTTATAAGTACCCTAAAAGGGACCCTAATTGGGGTTATGGTACTTATAAGTCCCTAAACTAACCAGTTACTAAGTCCCCCGACCCTCCAAGTAAGCCTTAAAGGGATCCCTATATCGGTACTTTAAGGCCTAAGTATATACTATATGGGCACATGGAGCCTTAGGGAAAACCAGTAAACCAGGCGTGAGGATCACCCAAGAGTGCCCCCAAATCTGAAGGACCCTTGTGTGGAGGGACTTGCAAATTGGAGATAAGGGCCCTTCTTAGAAGAGTGCCGTACAGTAGAAGCCAGAAAGTTGGAACATCATTAGTCTCATGCCCTTAAAGCAAAGTATAGGGAATCCTAGCACTATTCCTCCTAAATCCATGTTCCAACTTTCTGGGGTTCACTATACAGTTTCTGGTGTCCAGACAGGTATCCGAATTTTGGGACATGCCAGGCATTCGCCAACCTCAAAGATCCCCAGGGCTCTCAGTTCTTTGCAAGCATCCTAAACCCTAAACCCTAAACCCTAAACCCTAACAATTTTGTATGCGGACCGAAACTCGGTTTAGGGTTTAGGGTTTAGGGGTTTAGGGTTTAGGGTGCATGACGGCCTTAATAGTTAGAATAGGGATTGGGGGTGTAATTAACAATCAACTAGATAAATTAGGTACTCAGGAACACTAATGGATAGTACATGTTGTATTAGTTATTCAGGCTTCTATACTAAGCCTCCCAAAACAGCATAGCTGCAGCTGAGCTGCGCCCGCCGCTCTCGCCGCGTCTCTTCCTCTTCATTCATCTCTTTCCTCAGGTTTTCGGATGTAGGACCGTTTAGGAACTTTGCTATTGGGTTTTGGGTGTGTTGGGTTGCTTCAGACCTGTAGGGCTTAAGGTTTTGCCGGTAGGTAGCTCTGGCGAAGAGAAGGGAAACGCAAAGGTTCTGTGTCCATCCATCGATCATGGCATTGATCCGGGCCAGAAGATGTTAGTGTTAGTACAATGTTGGCCTTCGGGGATACCCAAAACTTACCTACTGATGAAGTCGGGCGCAGAGCTTGGTGCCGAAACATCATCTTCCACAGATCCCAAGCAGGTCTACCACAACGTTGAAATACGGCCCCCCGGCTAGGGTCCGAAAAGGATACAGTAGAAGCCTAACAGCTGGAAACCCAATAGCTTCAATCCTGAAGAGTAATATATAGGGAATCCCAGCTCTGTTGGGCCGTCATCCGGCTTCCAACTTTATGGGGATAAGCCCAAGATCTGTTGATGTCAATGGGTTGCCGGACACCGCATTTAATCCTCAGGGGCTGGGTAGGCTTCAAACATCTGCTTATGAACCCTTGCCTCATAGGGACCCTCAGAGGGGGGTAGGGGACTACACTTCCTCAACTAGGCCTTATTAAGTCCTTGTTAGAGGTATTATTCCCCCCTACTCCCCTCCCCCTAACCCCCCCTAAGGGTCCTCATGGCTATGCCCTAAACCCCATATCATAAATCCTCAAACCTCAAATCCGAAACCCTTGACCCCAAAGCTTTTAGACCATGCAGCCGACAACCCGAAAGCCTTTTCCTTCACCCCAAGCCCTTCGTCCCTAAACCTTCAACCCACATAATAGGGCCTGGACCCTACTAAGCTCATTTAGAAGTTTTGGCTGAGTAATGAAGCCCTTATCGAAACCCTGTCAAACCCCAACCCTAAACCCTAAACCCTAAAGCCTAAAGCCTAAAGCCTATAAACCCTAAACCCTAAAGCCTATAAACCCTAAACCCTAAAGCCTAAAGCCTAAACCCTAAAACCCTAAACCCTAAACCCTAAGCCCTAAACCCTAAGCCCTAAAACCTAAGCCCTCCTTTCACATCTCCCGGAGCTGTGTATGGCAAGCGGACACCTTCAACACGAGTCCGCGACTCTCCAGGGCCATGCCCGAGTTTAGGGGTCTTACCGTGGATGATGTAAAAATCCTAGGGGTTCCGTTAAAGGGCTCTATTAAGGGTACCTTTAAGGGGTTCCTTTAAGGGACCTATAGGGGGTTTGGGGTCTTACTGTTGATGATATAAAAATCTGCATTACCCATAATAAGGAATATACCATAATTCCCATAGTTTAGGGTCGTTTAGGGTTTCTAGGTTGGCCCTTTCAGGCGTCTGACAAATATTAGTAACTACAGTCCTATTAAGCCCCAAAAGGGAAAACATGAAATGTCCCCAAGGCCTACCTAGGTTTTGGGCTTAGGACTTACAGGGTTTAGGGTTTACGGCTTTAGATGTTGACAGGGCCTCAAAAGTTTGTGGGGTCTTTGCGCTGTAGGGCTTTACGGTTCAGGGTTCAGGGCATTAGGGCGTAGGACTTCGGGCCTTTCGGGGTCTTGGGGCAAAGCGATTGAGGATCTCAGAGATTGCAGGTGTGAAATGAGGCTAGAAGTCTTGAGTCTTATAGTGCCTTTAAGGCGTGTAAGGTTCAGGTTAGAGGGACAACAACCATACATCAACTCAGAATAGTCCCTGGGTACGTCGCTGAAAAGCCCAGCTATGGGCGCTGCGTCGCCTACATTAACAGAGGCTGTCGCTTGCGGCAGCATTGTGTGTTGCTGCTGGCTCCTGTGCAGGAACCTGATGAAGAACGTCTGAGTTCTGTAACACAAAGATAACAGGACCCCATACAAGATAGCATGACCAACAGCATCCAAAACAAGACCTTGAAGCAAAGATGTCAACAACTTCTAGCCGAGATCCTATATATTATATGCACTACATTGCCAGGGAGGAATTTGCACCTGGTAGTCCTTGATGCATGTGCTAGGCAGACCTAGCCGAACACCCAGAGCTATGAGCCCGGCCTACCCATTGAAAGCTCAGTGGCCTACATAGCAGTTGTTCATGGGTCATGTAATTTGTATGCGAATTTTCCTGCAGAATTAGGGGTACGGTACCATATTTGGGAGTCCTTATAAAAGGATCCTATTATCTAGGGTGCTATATTAGGGTCGGAGTTGTTCACCCCCCGCTGAAGGGTCTATAACAGAATGTGGAGGTCTGAATAAAGCGGCATCCCCTTATAGACCCTACAGACCTGCCTATCCTATGCAAGCATTGCTGTTGGCAATGTTGGCCGTATATTATGCCCACCAACTCTCTTCTTCAACAGCCGGGCCCCCAATAGTTCAAACTTTCTAGGATAGAGCTAATATATGAGGCCAAAAAGTTTAGAGTTCCCCCGTTCGCTATCTAAGCCAAACTCTGATGTCTTAACCCTAAACCCTAAACCTAGACCCAAGAGTAACCCAGGCATAAAAAGGATGCCCTTTTTGGTTTAAAGGGGCTTATAAGGGAACCTGAACCCTTAAAAAGGGAATAAGGGCCTACTCTGGGTCCTAGAAACCCTTTAACTGTCTAAACCAAACTCTGATATCTTAACACCAGGCTCCTCGGTGAAAAAGCCCTGCGACTCCAAGTTGCCTATCAATCGGCACCTAAAGTTTAGACTACAGGGACTAAATAGTTACCTATTCCCTATTATTTATTATTATTATTATTATTATTTTTTGTATACTATACCTATTCCTTGTTGTTTTTGTATTATAATGGGCCCCCCAAGCCCCAGTCTAACACATGCAGGCCTTTACCGTAACGCGGTGGAGAGCAAACGACTTCGGGCACAAGGCAATTTGGAGTCGCGGGGAAATGGGAAGCCAGGCCAGCTACCCCGGACCTGCCTTCCCTGCGATTGATTGGAGGCCAGCAAAGGCGCTGAAGACGTTGCTTTAGGATTTAACCCAAATCTGTAGTTTTGTTCACAAAGTTTGGAGTTTAGTTTAGAGTTTATAGAATACCTTGATGCATGATCCCTACCACGAGACCACCCCATTTCATAAAACGCCTGCTGGCTTCCCACTCTGATGTTTCGTCAGAGGCGAATGCGTGTTAGAAGTCGGCAGTGCCGTAGCATCTCATAAGCTCTGCCTGACTTTGCCTAAACCCAACATTTTTGGCATGGGCCCTTTCCTGGGTTAACAAGCGTTATGGTCAGGACAAAAAGAAATCATCACAACCAACAACAGGACTTGGTTTCGAGGATAGAGGAAGCATCTAAGTTGCTGACGGATCTTGGAAAGATGACACCAGCATGCTCCTGTCTGAGTACAATGTTTACTATACTGAACTTAGAACCCTAGCAAAAATATAATTTTGGCTGTTTCTTCGGGATTATAATAACCAAAAAATTTTAAAAAAACTAAGTACCCCTAACTGTAGTGCACTGCCATACTGCATGGAAAAGCGCCTCGCGACGTGAAAAACAACGAGAATAATGCGTCACTGTCAGTTCTGCCCATCTCTCATTGGCGACACTTGCGCGATCGCCTCATGAGAGACTCCTGCATGAGCTGTTCGAAGGACGTAATTACCCTAAGGCCCCAAAGTAGTTCCTTTTTGAGGTTCATATTTAGAATCTTAGGAGGTACTCCCAAAAAGGAACTACTATGCGGCCTCTGGGTAGATCTGATCGGACGACCAGCGACATTTACATGATCGCACAGCACTGAGACGTAGAGATCAGCTGGTGGAAGAGCATGTCCGACGTTACTGGTCCATTGCCATCCGGGCTCTGCCGCAGCGCACCCTTTTCTCAAGGTCGTCTGGGGCAGAGCCGATACCTGTAAGCCGCTTCGACCACCCAAAACAAAACTCTGTGCTTAATGACCCCCTTCGGTTTCCAGCATAGTCGAGATGAAAACAATCTGCTCTGGAACACCCAGACATTTTTCAAAGATTCTTGGAAAATATCTTCTACGGCACACCCAGATACTTTTCAAAGACTCTTGGAATGCAGCCACATAGGCGGCGTGCGATTTCCATCCAGGAAGCTTAGGCTTAGGTCGGCTGCTGCCGTCCATCGATCTGAAGCCTTAGGTCTCCCCCCAGCAACTCTGGAGCCTTTAAGTGAAGGGGTTTAGGGTTTAGGGGTTTAGGGTTTAGGGTTTAGGGGTTTAGGGTTTAAGGCTAAGACCCCTTTTGGCCTTCTATGAAGCAACTCTGGAGCCTTGCAGTGCGTAAGGGATACTCTAAGTACTAGAAGGGTACTCTAGGGAATACTGAAAGGGTACTTTAAGGACTGCTAAAATACTTTGAGGGATACTAGAAGGGTACTATAAAGGCTTAGGACGTAGATGTTGGGGTTTAGGGTTCAAGGACTTAGGGATTTCGGTCTAGTGTGCACGGGTGTAGGGTTCAGGGGGTTAGCGTGCGCCCTTACTCTGAAAACGAGGTAGGCGCCCGTAGAAACAGCGGCCCCCCAAAACTCTAACCCTATTTAAACCCTAAACCACTAAACCCCTAAACCCGAAACCCCTAAACCCCTAAACCCTAAAGGGTACTGGTGGGGGAACCCGGTAGCTCAGCTGTGGTTCTTGGAAGTCCACGGCCCTGAAGTCCACTTGGGCAACCATGTAGGAAGCCAGAGAATGGCAGTCCCCACTTGCCTCGCCTGGGGGGCTGCGGTACCTTTAACTATACTGAACTTAGAACCCTAGCACAAATTATAATTAAAGCTGTTTCTTAGGGAGTATAATAACCAAAAATCTAAAAAAATCTAAGTACCCCTAAGGTTGGGGTTTGGGCTTAGTAGGAGGGATAAACTTGAATAGTTCAACTCCTATACAGCCTGGAGGACCCCAAGCCCTAAAACCCTACAACTCCTAAGCCTTAAACCCTGAAACTCTGAAGGTAAAAGCCAGAAAGTTGGAATATGATTATCCTAAACCCTTTATGGTAAATTATAGGGTATCCTACCTTGAAACCATATTCCAACTTTCTGGAGTTCCCTTTATGCCCTAAACCCTACAACCCTTAATCTTCTTGAATTTACACAGCGTTATGGGCCCGCCTGCAGCTGCCTCCTGCGCAGACTTGACCCCATGGCTGCTTGCACAACCCATGCTTCCCAAAAAGGGTCTTGAGCTAAACCCTAAACCCTAAACCCTAAACCACCCAAAAAGGGTCTTGAGCCGAAGCAGTGTGGGAAAGTGGAGGGCCTCTTGGAGTTTGAAGACCTCGAAGGGTCCACCAAAGGACCCAACTGATACGGTTTAGGGTTCTTTAGGGTTTAGGGTTCAGGGTTTAGGGTTCCCCAAGGGTCCAAAGGACCCAATAATTCGGTACTCGGTTTTAAGATGGTAATTATGTAGCTTAGGATTTAGGAGAGTGCATGATTATTAGGTACTTGGACCCTTGGGATTTTGGAGTTCGGCATTTTCTCTCTTCTTCAACAACCGGGCCCCAAATAGTTCAAACTTTCTAAGGTAGAGCTAATATACAAGGCCAAAAAGCTTTAAAGTTCCACCATTGGCTATCTAAGTTTTAGGGGTTTAGTGAAGTTTCAAGCTTAGGGGGTTCAGGGTCTTAAGGATTTGGGGTTTGAGGGTTTAGGGGTTTGCAGGTGCTTAAGGATTGAGGCTTTTGGGGTGTTCAGGATTTTCGGTTTCGGGTTTTAGCTTGAGGGTTTAGGGGTTCGGGATTTCAGGGATTTATGGTTTGGATTTTGGGTTTGGCGGTCCCCAAGGAAAAGCATTAGCTTTACGAGCCACCGGTAGTTCAATGTAGACCCCTAACCCTGAACCCTTAGCTACACAAAACCCTACAAACCCAAGTAAACCTTACAAGTCCTGCTGTGAACCCTATAAAGACCAAAAAAATATTGTCGGTTTACCCTAAACCCTGTAAAAAGACCCAAACCCGAAACACTAAACCCTTAACCCACGCCCGCAAAGCCTGTGAGACTCGGGATCTGAGGGCTGGGCAAGATGGCGCCGACCTTCTTGTGGGAATTTAGGGTCTAGGTTCCCCAGAGGCCCCATAGTAGTTCCTTTTTGGGATTACCTTATAGGATTCTATATATGAACCGGCCCAAAAAAGAACTACTTTGGGGCCTTTGGGTGGAAGCTGCCCCCACCATGTAATAGGGACTATAAGGATTATATTAGGGCCCGATTATATTCCTATTATACCACTAGTACAGGGCCGGGGGCCCGATCTAAGGTATAGGTTTCAGGGCCTAGAGTTGACAGTTTCTAGGTTCAGGGCGACAGAACTTCTTACTCTGCGTTTCATGCTTGATGGCCTTGTGCTTCAGAAGGATTTCGCGGGCTCACTACCTCAAAGCCTCCAAATAGGTACCCAGGCAAGTCATATTAGACTACTCCGTAAGCTGTTTAGACTCTGCGTTTATTCCACGCATCTATTGCCAGCACAAAGCTGACCTACAAAGGGCCGACGATTCCTTCGTTATTACGGAGCCTCTGACTCACTGAACATGAATTCCTGCTAAGGACTCTTTACTGCGAATGCTATCCGAACTTGAAGAATCTCAAACATACACTATCCTCCAAAAAACCGTAGGAACCTCTGCTAAATTCTAAGTTCAAGTGATTGCCTAATCTTCCTCAACAATCGACCGTGCACTCAGACATGCGATTCGAGCTTACGGTCTATTCATTAGGTACGGCCCCCATACTGTAAGAGTCTATAATAGGGCTACTATTAAGGTCCTACTATAGCTATATTATGAATATTATTCAACTATTACTCAGTGGGGGCCGTACCTAATCTATTCAGGGCATTTAGGGTTGTCGAGTACCACAGAACCCTACTAGGATGCCCAGTAACCTAGGAACAAAAAGGGCTCCCTTTTTGGTTATGGTAACTGTATAAGGAACCTGGGACTACAACAAGGGAATAAGGGTACTACTGGGCATCCGAGCCATAGATCCGTGGAACCTTTTACAACCCTAATCATAACCCTCCCTTCTTTACGGCTTCGGGCTACGGTCTATTCAGGGAATTTAGGGTTGACGACCAAAGACCTAAGACCCCTATAGATCCGTGGAACCGTTTAACCCTCCCTTCTTTACGATTTCGGGCTACACCTATAGTTTCCATTGTAGTTCCTTTTCCTGGTTAACCAGTTTTATGGTTAGGAACCTATAATAGAGATTTTGGATAACCAAGAAAAGGAACTACAATGGAGACTATAGGCAGTACTTCCAAGGCCTCGCCCACAGACTTGTCCAGCTTCTTCTGAGCCTGAAGCTGCGCCTCGCCCCGGTTTAGGGTTCAGGGTGGTTTAGGGTTTTGTTTGGGGGGGTTAGGGTTTAGGGTTTAGGGGGGTTTAGGGTATAGGGGGGTTTAGGGTTTAGGGGCGTTTAGGGTTTAGTAGACCGCTATGATTAGCGGCCTTAATAGTTAGAAAATACGGGCTCCTCCGAAAGGGCTCCTTCAAAGGGGTACTGTAAGGGAGCTGCAGTAGGGTTGTCGATGATACAGGGGCCGTAATAATTAGAAAATAGGGCTTGGGGGACCATTATACTAGAAGTATAAGAAGGAACACCCAAAATAGTGTGGTTAAAAAATTTCGGGTTGCTTCTTCTGGTGTCTAATCTACGTCCTTGAAACGCTCTTGGACCCTGGCAAGCACCAGGTTCCAGCAGATTGGGCTAGAGAGTTGAAGCTCAAGACCACAAAACACCAAAAGCAACTCAAACATGCTCTCCGTGCGTTCAGGCTTAGACTCGCACGCCAGCACACGCCGCTGCACCCGCAAATGCTCGTAATCACTATATATATATATATATATATATATATATATATCCGTTGTTGGTCTGGCGAAACCAAGAGAGATTTGTAGGTTACTGGCCCACTTTCTGGTGGAGCTCCATGAATCCCGGCACAAGTTGCGCTTAGTAACCGCGGCAGCCGCAAAAACTTGAGAGCCCTGGCAAAGTAGGGTTTAGGGTTTAGGGCTGTAGGGTTGTAGGTTCCGGAGGATGTCTCTGACACGATATACAAAGCTTCGCAAACTTCTAGAACAAGGTGGTGCCCTGAATCCCGAAACCCTGAACTCTAAGCCCATATGGCTCGTATGAACGACGCCATCAAGCTGGAACCCAACCCAACACTAACAGACCCTGGGGTTGAGGGCTTCGGGCTTCAGGCTAAGACTTTACGCCTAATACGAAGCGTGGTTGCATGGCCTGCTTGTGGTCGGTGATCTTTCGCTTTCGCTCTTTGTTTCGCTTGGACTGCCTTAGGGCTCGAGCTCCGCAGTTCTCTTTCCTAATCACAAGCAAGGCCCTTATACCTGAAACCCTCTAAAACCCTACATACTGGAATCCTAAAGCCCTAAAGGAGTGAAGCCCTAAACCACCAAACCCTTAAACTCCCAAAGCCTAACACCCTAAGCTACTACTGCTAGTCCCGGCTCTCCCTAGCGATCTGAAAAGTCAAGCGAACATCTGTATATAATCTCTGTACCTGGATTTAGGACTTGGGGCTTTGGGCTTATAAGCTCTGTAGGGCTTTCGAGTCTGAGGGTTTTAGGGCTAAAGTAGGTGTTACACTTCATTGGCTGAACCCGGGATCCTAAAACTCCAAATGCCTAAACCCCTAAAGCCCAAATTATTTAACCCTATACACACTATAAGCCCTAGACCCTGTAAACACTCCTCGCCGATTCGAGTATAGAGACCCTGGTAGACTGTGACGTACAGCAAATACCTGCCGAAAGCAGTTCGTCGGGACCCCTAAACCCGGAACCTAAAGCCCTCGTCTTTAGAGCCAAACTGTTCTAAGTATTGGGGGGCTTCTTAAGAACAACAAAAGTTCTAAGGACATGATCCAGCAATTACAGCGGGATTGTGGCTATTACTACTTGTTCCGACCCTGCAAAGCCGAGAAAGACAACATCACCGGAAGCCAGATCACAGACCCCTCAACCTTAAAGTACTGTTGACAGAAAGAAACCCTAACGGCCCTAACACGTAAAGAAGGCCTAAAACCCCAATGCCAAAAACTGACGCATACTGCCTATATATATATATATATATATCTCTCTCTCTCTCTCTCTCTCTCTCTCTCTATCTATCTATATATATATATATATATAGATAACCTTAAACCCTAAACCCCAAGACCTATTAAAAACTAAACCCTGAAAGCTCTAGAACTTGGAGCTCCAAGACCTAAACGTCGGATGTACCAACCGGACTACGCTGAACCCTGCCGCCCCAGAAGGTTAGGGTTTAGGGTTTAGGGTTTAGGGTTTAGGATTTAGGGCTTTGGGGTTAGGTTTTTTTTTTTTGAGCTCCTTTTTCCGCCTAAGGTGCAAGCCGTCGACGAAAGACCCCTTGGGTCAGGTGAATCTAGCCCTCTTACGCACCTCCGCTTGCAGGGAGGGGTTTAGGGGTTAGGGGTTCAGGGTTTAGCGGTTTAAGGGTTTAGGGACTGTTTAGGGTTTAGGAGTCCAGGGTTTAGGGGTTTATAGGGTTTAACTTCCCATTGCAATCAGGTGGCGATTTCCGCTTAAACTTGGCGATACGCTTCTCGAAGGCCTTTCCGGGTGCTCGGAGGCCACGCTTGGGTGGCATCTCGATTGCAGTCTAGCCAAGATCAGAGGGTCCCAATCATTAGAGCAGGCCTTATATAAGGGTATATCATTTCAGAAGTTGGGAAAGCCTTAGAAAAAATGTCAGCCGCCTTGAGAACCCTGATGACTCTCCAGCGGGTCACATTTGAGGGCCGTTTAGGGTTTAGGGTTCTGAGGGTCCTTCAGAGGGCGACTGATACACGTAAGCTTGGCGAAGGCGGTGACGGCGATGATGACGATGTTTGTGATGCAGGAGATGGCGATGACTTTCACCATTGTGCTCACCATCGTCGTCGTCATCAATTGCGAAAGGTGATGATAGTGATCGTGGGATTGACGATGACGCTGGCGATGATGTGAACGATGCTGATGATGTTGCTGCTGATGAAGATGTGGACAATGATGACCATGATGACGACAGAGAGGGGAGATGATAACGATCACAACGACGAAGGTGACATTGACGATGATGATTTCAGACAGCCCTTGGCCATGGTAGTGCTGATGGACAAAATCCTGCATAACCCATTTTGAGGAATATACCATAGTTCCCATAGTTTAGAGTCCTTAGGGGCATGCAGGATTTTGTCCATCAGCTGTAGAGTTACATTGAAGCGAAGCTTCCGCCTTGGATTTACTCCTGGTGCATTCGAATGCCGAGGACTTGGTTACCCAGACCTTCCAAAATCCCTTAATTAAGAAATATACCTTAAATTATAATAGGATCCCTAATATGATTTTAGGTATATTCCCTAATTAAGGGATTTTGGAAGGTCTGGGGGGTTCGGCTTCCGAAGGTAGGCTGCGACAGCTTCCGCGAATGGCATCCTACCAGACCGGTACCCATGTGCAAGAACATCCCTGACCTCTCAGTTATTTACGGGGTTTTCATTCCACATATCTTCCATCACGAAAAGAAGCATATGTGTGTAAAACACACATATATATATATATATATATATAGAGGGTGCATCGGAATATGGGCCCGTGTTTTTCGAGTAAAACAGCTGTTTTTTGCATTTCACAATGTATTCTGAAATTCTATCTTGAAAGTTACCAATCCAACCTTACTAATCTTTTTGGATGCCAAACCCAGCCAGCCGTACAAAGACATTGGGTTACCCAGAGAATGTGAAGATAGGATTTGTTGGACTGATTCCTGAGCACCTCAAACCTCAACAGGATGGAGTTGATGGCGATCCTGACAGCTTTGCCGTAATCACACTACTCTATATCTGAACCCGACAGCCTATACAGAAACTCGCAAACTTCAAGAAACATAAGTGGTGAAGGAATCCCAAATCTGAAGCATAGCACTTGGCCTGACAGCCGATGTTGCACCCTTACCCGAAGGGTCCACCTAGATATATGATATGCGCCTGGTTCTTTATATGTTAACTTGACAACCAAAGCATATGCTATTTAGGTATACGGGCCCTGGGATAAATCGTAACCTTGACAAGGAGATTCTCTGAAACCTACAGCCTCGTCACGACATGACCTGAAAGATTGGATGGGTAGCAAGTCGCTAAGCCTAGCACTCGGTTCCCCAAAACAGCAGGTCATGGTCAGTTCAAGTCCCTGAATAAAAGAGTCGTTTAAATACAAAATGTTTGGGGGCCAAGAGCCCCAAACCTCAGTCGGGTACGATGGCTGGCAAACCCAAAATCGGAAAGGAGATAATAGTTGATGACCTCCGAAACCGAAAAAGGATTACTAAACATACAATATCTGATCAAAGGTGATGGTGGGAAAATTTGCAACTTGATGCCTTTGAAAGAAGATGATGAATGGCAAACCTTAAATGCTGAGAGGGGTCACTGGGTAATGCAATTCCCAACCCTAATTAGTATGATAGAATGCGTGAAAGGCATAAGACTCTTGAAAGAAATAGTGAGTAACCTAACACAAGCCAGGCAAATCTTTAACTTTGAACCAGGCGGCGGGTTCTTGGAACCCTTGGCCCTCGTAGGAAACGATTGGTTGCACCTGAATATCTCTGAGCCAGCGAAATGCCAATCTTCTTAAGAAGAAATAATGGGCGACAAGCATAATACTGGAATATATTGGTGCCTGGCCAACCTTAAGCTATAAAACCTGCTCCCCCACCACCACCACCACCACCACCACCACCACCACCACCACCACCACCACCACCACCACCACCACCACCACCACCACCACCACCACCACCACCACCACCACCACAAAAAAGTAGGTTTGGTTCCTGAAGCCACAAGCCTCGAAACAGTGTCAACAAACAGTCGCTACCACGGAGGCACCGGGATATCAAAGTGCAAGTTCATGGCAGTGATAACGTGCGGCAAACATTGGGTTTGCCAACCCACATGTCCCTGTGGCACTATTGTTGCCAGCCGTTGAGGTGTTCGGGGTTTGCCAACTCTTGTATAGAAACATTAGTACAAAGAGACTACGTGGCTTGTGGCGCATGGTGGAGCGTGCCAACCCATATTTCGTGGTTTGCTAACCAATATCTCTGTTTAGGGGTTTGATGCTTCCGAAAACACAATCTTCTTTAAAGGTTGAGGCTTGCCAAACAGTAGCTCTTTGTTCAGTGGCATGGATGTTGTCAATCTACATGTCGGTCTGTATCGCTTTCCTCTTGCCACCCTTAAAGGTATTGTGGGGGCTGCCAGCTACATCGCCTTGTTGGGACTGGGGTTTGTCAATCAACCAACATTCTTTTTATGGTTCGGGGTTTCCAACCCATATTTTAAACAAAGCTCTCGGCTGTATAGACAAACATATGCTTTAGGTACTGGGGGATCTACCAGCCAACATGACCTTCTAGGATTTGGGGGTTGAGCAACCTACATGTTTTTGGGAGGATTTGGGATTGCCAACCCACCGTCTCTTCTGATTCAAAAACGTCTTATGTAGTATTTGGGGTATCCCAATCGACATCTCCTTCCACAGTGAAACTGATTAAACAACAAGTTTATCAGAAAGCTTGGGGTTTGCTAAATAATCTTTTCTTTCAGAATTTGATTTTTACCGATTGGGCTTAGATGATCCATCTTAGTTGACATGTATGCATACTTTTTGATAACCAACATGTCATTCTTCAGGTTCTGTATTTGGTTTTGCCCAACATCTTCCTGTAGTTTGTTTGGGTTTGCCTGACAACATGTCCGTGTACTGATGGGGGTCCTCAACCGCTTCAGTGTTCAGATTTAAGGTGTCAAAAGAATTCATGATTTGGAGTGCTTGGTGGAGTGCGAAGGCCTGCTCATTACGTTTTTGGGGTGGGTTCCCCCTCCCCTCCCCGCACCCGAAGGCCTCAGGGGTGGTGCTCAGCCCCCTCCCCCTGACCCATGCGGGGGGCGGGGGGGGGGGCACAAAAAACAAAAAAGGTTTTTTGCCCCCCCCCCCCCCCCCCCCCCCCCCCCCAACCCCCCCCACCCCCCCCACCCCCCCCCCCCCAACGGCCCCGCGGTGCACGCATACGGCGCCAGCCGTCCCACGTCTCCCTGCTGTGGTTTGTTTTCTATATCAATCTGTGAGTATGAATTGCCTCCACTTGAATATTTTTGCCAATCAGTTATTTATTGGTACCTACCTTTTCATTGAATACAATGTACTTATAATCACGTTACGATACAGCTTTTAGCGTTTACAGAAAAGCCTAAACATAACTATACACAAACGCAGGCCTGTATTTTGACGCGTTGTGTATATGTATATATATATATATATATATATATATATATATATATATATATATATATATTATGATAACGTCACGTGTGTCGAAAGCACTATCTAAAGTCCTTGAAACCCTGACACAAAATATTCTTCACCAATTTGCTGATTACTGGAGTTTCCGGAAAACAGGGTCGCTAACAGACCCAGCAAATGAAACAATGATAGGATCTTCAGAGCAACGCCAGCCAAGATAGTAGCCACATACAATCCAAGGGGAAAAGGAGGGACCCTTAATAAGGACCCCTAGGTATATACCCTTAATATAGCTATTATATACCCATTATATAGCCCATTATAGTGTAGGGGTCCCCATTGAGGGTCCCTCCTTTTCGCCTTTGATACAAGGACTGTCAAGACATCACCAACTAAAGCTCAGATAACATGAACGCTATCCCTAAACGCTAAAACCCTGAACACTAAGCCCTGAACCCTGGACCTCAAACCCATCCAAACCCTAAATCACGCCTCAGGTGTCGAGGCTTGCCTCTACCGTCCCCGCCTCCTCCGACTCCCCCTCCAACGGCTGGGGTGCACCAGGACAGATGAGCTTGCGATACCTGCCGTTGTGCAGTGGAGTGTGGAAAGTCTGGCTGAACCCCGAAGCCACAAAACGCTGTCGGGCGTGGAGGTCTGGGCTATCCGAGCGTCCTGGCTCCGAGTGAAGTTTACAAGTCTTGGTCAACGAGCAGTGCGTTCAAGTGACTATAGTGCAGTATAGATATGTCTAGATTATATGTTTGCTGTCAAGCATTCTGGAAGCACAAACGAGCAGATCAGCAGGAAATCCACCTCCATAGACACTAATTAATAATGAACAGCAAGTTCTGGAGTATCGGTCGTCAGCATTCAGAAATTTGGCAATCCATGCCCCGCAACCCCACACTATGAAGTCCTGAATCTCTTGACCCTCGGCATCTAGCTCTGTTGGATAGCTTCTCTTGTGAATCAGACCGCCAGGAAACTGAGTTCCCAACTGCCACTTAGACATGTTCCCCAGAGGGTCCATATACACTACCATTATGGAACTAGGTCCCTGAAACCATTCAGGGATGGTCTTCTTGGACCTAATTCCACAATGATATCTAATGTAGGGGCCTTAATAGTTACCTATACTATTTTTTGGGGGGGGTCCTTATTGCAGTTATAGTATTATAATGGGCCCAAAAACCCTATTCTAATTATTAAGGCCCCCATAGTACAGCTCTTATCGCAGCGTCGGAGTGTGCTGCAAATGTGCGCATACACCAGCATACACACGGGCTACATAATAGGTGCCGTACTTTATAAAGGACCCCAAAAGGGACCATAATTTTGACAACCACCCACATAAATGCAGATTCAGCATCCTCAATGCCCCGAGCCCTCGCGCGTTGCGGCTAAAAGCTAGGATTATCGGCTTAAGTCTTGCCACATCTCATCTCTAAGTATTCCAGAACTGACCCACCAAACCAGGAAATGTTTTCGAGCCCCAGACATTCCAGGAAACCCCCTGCTGCTGCGACGTGCGCACGTCTGGATGCGAGTCGCTTCGTCCATCTTGGCCACTTCCTCCTCCTGGAAACATGCCAGGCTTAGCGGAATGTGAGGGCTCTGGTGTATGGCCACAGGGCTCCAAGTCTGTAAATAATACCTGCTAAGGGGGTCTGAAGTCCAGAGGTAATGCTGTACCTACTTTCGGCTGCTAGCATAAGGCAAAAGCCAGAAAGTTGGAATATGATTATCCTAACCCTTCTAGGGTAAATTATAGGGTATCCTACCATGAAACCATATTCCAACTTTCTGGAGTTCCCTATAGGGGTTCGGGATTAAACTGGCGGTTTAGGGTTTATAGGGGTCAGCTCGAGCTAAAGCGGAGCGGAACCAGGTGCCCGGAGGGCTGACACAGTGTAATTCAAGCAGGTCGCTGTCGAAACCACACCCATGGCCTCAACAAGCTTTCAAGTAACCTTGTAGTACTCTCTATAGAACCTCGACAGCCCTAATGGAACCCTCAAATTAATTTAAAGGGGAAGCTAAACACCACCAAACCCGAACCCCCAAACAAATCCTACCTCCCCCGAGGCCTGAAACCTACCCCCCCTAAAATCCCAAACCGCGTAAACGCCTCGACCCTCCCAAACAGAAAGACCCTAATAGAACCCGAGATAAACATGAAAGGAAATCTAAATTCCTATAAACCCTAAACACCTCATTCAACCCTAAACCGCCACCCCTAAACCCTAAACTCTCACCCCTAGACCTCTTACAGGACCCTACACCCAAAACCAGCAAAAGGATCCCAGATCTCCCCCCGACGCTTTCCCTAAGGCTCCACGTGCCCATAGAGTATATACTGAGGCCTTACAGTACCTACAGAGGGACCCCCCTAAGGCTTAAGTATATACTATGCTCTCCTCTTCAACAGCCGGGAAGAATGAGGAAAAATGGAGCAAAGAAGCCGAAAATAAGAGATGGAGACTACAAAGGATTAAAAAGGTCCAAGATTTATTACTGCCTTTAGTTGTAGAAGGATAGTACAGGCTTCTAGGTGTTAGGATATAGGAGAATCTGGTAAAGACTCAATTCATATTAGAATATAGGCCTAGAATTATAGGAGATTATAGTAAGGATATCATAACTAGGAATTGGTAAGAAACTATGAACTAAAATTTTGTATGATCTTAATGAACTGTAAATTAGTACACGATTCGTACAACTAAAACCCAATGAGAAAACACAGGGTGTTGAATTTAATGAAGTGAAACAAAGCACGCTTCACTCTGTTACATTGTCTTTGTTTCATTCATTAAACACAACACAGTACCAGAATATGGCATGAAAGTAGTCAGGCGGTGGTTTCTCTGGTGTTCGGGGTTGGGAGTGAGGAAGGAGTGGTAAGGTTAGTTGTAATGGAAGCACGAACAACCGAACCACGAATGAACGAACGTAGCGGTTCCTGTAGGTTATTCTCAAGTCAACAGGTTTGGTCTCTTGTTCCTTCTGCTTTGTTCTTTCTCTTTACGGTTCATTCATGCTTCCATTCAGTCATTACAATGAAGCGTAAAGGACAGAACAGAGGAGAAGTGAACCCAGTGGCCTGGATGTGCTGAGTTCAACCTACACCACCGTCTGTAAGCTTAATGACCAGTCTAACTAACCGCCACCCAACAATCCAGCATACCTTTGTTCCTGTAGTTTTTCCTTGTGGCTTATTTATGATGGAACAGAGTGGAAGCATGCAGCATGAAATAAGCCACAAGAAACACCACTGGCCCTTTGTTTCGTTCTGCTTTCGTTTAATTCGTGCGCTCTTCACTTACAATTAAACGAAGCGTGAACGAACACAAAGGGAACAAAGGCTACAACAGGACTAAGCTTACGTTTGACAATTGAGTTCGGGGTTCGTGCGTTCTGGTGGGTGGATTTTAATGAAGAGAACACGCTTACGTTACACTACATTGTTTCTCTTCACTTCGTTCACCCTTGATGATTCCTGGTGTGGTTGGTAGTGGAGTTCGGGCGTGTGTTTTTTAATGTAAACACAAGCGCGAGAAAAAAGTGCGTGGTTCAATTTAAAGAAAAACAAAGCACACGAAGGGAACGAAGCGTGCGAAATGAGTGTTAAATTTAAAGGAGAAAAACATGTGTCTGTTCCCTCCTTGTTTTTCCCTTTAAATTAGCCACTCACTTCGTTCCCTTTACAAATATAGATAGAGAAGAGAAATGTGGTTTAATTTAATAAAACAAAAGAGGTAAGGACCACCAAAAAATGCAAACTTTCTAGGATAGAGCTAATCGATAAAGTTCCCCCGTTCACTATCTAAGACTTTGAAGGTACATGGAGCCCTTCGGTTTGGGCCCCGGACACCGAGTTCCGCTCGCAGCTCTGCGGTGATCGGCCGCTGCTGGCGCTCTAAGGATTCCACCTCCGCCGTTTAAGAGAAGGGGCTGTAATTAATAATGGAAAATGGGGTTCCTTTGAAGGGCTCCTTTAAAGGGATACTCAAAGGGAGCTATAGAAGGGTTCTATGATAGAGGGGCCTTAACAATTAGAATAGGGTTTGGGGATTCCACCTCCGCCTTTTAAGAGAAGGGGCCTTAATAATTGAAAATGGGGTTCCTTTCAAGGGCTCCTTTAAAGGGATACGCAAAGGGAGCTATAAGAGGGTTCCATGCTAGAGGGGCCTTAACAATTAGAATAGGGTTTGAAGATTCCACCTCCGCCGTTTAATACAGGGGCCTTCATAGTGAGAATAGGGCTTCCTTTAAAGGGGTCTACAGAAGGGTAATCAGACTAGGGGTTTGGGGCCCATTCTACTATAACTGTAACAAGGAACCCCCCCCCAACATAGTATAGGTAATTATTAAGGCCCCCATAGTGTTGTACGACGTTGGGGCTTCGGGTTCAGGGTTGAGGATTTTCGAGTTGAGGGCTTGATTGAGGATGATTGAGGGCTTAGGGCTTCGGGCTTAGGATTTTCGAGTTTAGGGTTGAGGGGTTTAGGACCGGTATAGGGTTTTAGGGTTTAGGGTTTAGGGTCAGGAGTTTAGGGTTTAGGGTTTAGGACCGGTTTAGGGTTTTTGGGTTTTGGGTTTAGGGTTTAGGACCGGTTTAGGAGTTTAGGGTTTGGCGCTTGCGGCGTTTCAGGCTTTTCACCAAGCACGGATCGATCCTTTGGATCAGGTGTGGGTAAGAGCCGGCAGAAGGAGGCAGATCAAAGTCGATAATATTGGGGCCTTAACAGTTATAGAACAGGGTTTTAAGGCTATTATACTGAAATTATAACCAGGATTAAAGTCTAGCAGATTCCTCAGACTCAACTTGCACACGTACTTTTAGCGACGGACCAAGAGAAGGTGGCGAGCAAGCGCAACTCTCCAGAAAGCGATTCAAGCGTGAAGGAAAGCATAGGAATAGCGGGAGACTTACAAATCTACATAACAAGGCCTTCCGTACTACCCGCAACTCCTTGCGCTCCCTTGGACCTTTAACTGAAGCCCGAAACCATACACACTAAACTAAACTGACTGGTGCTTAGTAGGGAATGGGGGGATGGATCCTCGAAGTCCAAAAATAATCCCCAATAGTAGTCCCAATAGCTCGTTTTCCCCTTCCGTACTTCGAACCAGACAGTGAACTAATAAACCTGAAGCCGAATTAAAGAAAGAGCCTTCTCCTCCTTCTCCAGCTGCTTCGCTGCAGCCATGCATGCCTTTGCGTGATCGTCTGTCCATCGACGGGTTTAGAAGTGCTTCGGCGTGAAGGACATTTTCAGAGCCTTGTGTCTTCTTCCACTACTGCTACTACTGCTACTGCTGCTGCTACTACTACTGCTACTACTACGACGAGGACGACGACGACGACGACGACTACTACTACTACTACTACTATTACTACTGGCCTGAGGTGGGTCTTCAAACTTCAAAGTGTGTGCAGTCCGAGAGACTGCCATCAAGACGATGCGAAGACGGCATGTCATGCTTTGCGAACGGGTTTAGGGTTGAGTGGTTTTGGGTTAACGGCTATGGGTCTAAGTCTACCTATCCTTTTCTTGGCGAACCCAAATCTATATTAATAGGATCCTCAAAAAAATAAAATAGGTTAACCCCGAAAAGGAACTACAATGGAGCCTATGGGAAGGCCTAGGCCTAGCTGCTGAGTTCAAAAGCCCTCAAAAAAGTACACTTTCAGTTTTATAGTAGATAATATGATCCCAAAAAGTGTAAACTGTCAATATTGGGGTTGGGACCCTTTGTGACAACCCCCCTCGGGCCGCGGCCAAGTCCTCGTAGGCATCGCTCCCCGGATTTACTGACTGACCCTGGGTTTAAAGATGTGTTTTTTTGAGGGTTGGGGTGGGTTTAGGGTTTAGGGGTTGGGGCTTAGGGTTTACGGGTTAGGGTTTAGGATTGTCAGGCTAGGGTTCAGGTTTAGCTCTTGGGGTCCTGGATTCGCGTTTGACAACACATTTACGGTGCCTGTAGCGTGGTCTACAGCGGCTTTGCGTGGGCTCTGTAAGCAACGCTTTGTAATATGTGAAATCACTGGGGAGGCTTAGGCTTAGGAGTGTAAGGCCTTTGGTTTTGGTATTGTTGGGACTGGGGTACTGTAGGGCCTTTAGGGGCTTTATGGTCTTCTATACTGGAGTTTGTCTTCCTGCATTTCCTCAGGCTTCACAGGGCTTGTTCTGTTCGTGTTTTCCAAAGCCTTTAAAAACCAACACAAGGCTCTGGCGGTTTGAAGGGAAGCACTGGGTTCTTCGACATCGGGAGCTGAATAAAGTTTAAAGTTTCAAAAGGCTCTAATGTGGCTGCAATGTGGGGTTGCAGAGGGTTGGTGTAATGCAGGGTGTTAAAGTGTTGGGGATGTGGCCCTCACTAACGCCACGAGCTAGTCGGAACAAAAGCAAAAATCAGGCTCAAGAGGAATGCCTGCTACCCGAACAATCACACTACTCACAAAAAGCCAGCAAGAAAGCCTGTATCGAACAATGCACAAGCCGAATCACCGTAAAATGGAGACCTAAGGAATATCTTACTCACTATTCCAGCATCTGTATAAGTCATGCAGAAGAACCGAAACCGGAACCCTAGACACTGTTCAACCCTTCACCCTAAAACCTAAAGCCTGTAACCCACACCCTACACCATGAACCCTAAACCCTAAACTCTGAAACCTAAACACTCCATCTTCGTATACGGCCTCGTGCGCTGGTACCACTGCCGGAGCGCGACTGGCCTGGCAAGGCCCGGGAGGGGGTCGGACGGTTTTTCGGGGTTCCTTTGAAGGGATCCATAAGGGTTTAGTGTTTAGCATGTGTAGGGCTTTAGGCCCAAACGGTCCAAGTATCGTTATGGGGATCTTTGGGGTCCGTAGACCCTGCAGCAGTGTACTATCCGATCCTGGTTCGACTGCACAATATACACTCAGTACTTGTCGAATTTATCTAGACATGTGCCAGCACTAGCTTCAAACAGATCGGACAGAAGCATCAGCAAGCTCATAAAATCTTGAGAATTGCGTTCACGTGCACTTTGCAGCACCCAGGGATAAGGGGTTTTGGGTTTAAGTGCGAGGAGGGCTCCGTGTTTTTTGAATGCACTTATTTTTAAACTTTGGGGTTTGCCTGGACACTACAAAACCTACCTCCTTGATACATTGAGAAAATACGTCATTTGGGTTTTTTTTGTTAAGGTCATTTGGGGTTTAGGTCATAGGGTTTAGGGATTCTCGGCAAGCCGCCTTCTGGTGCATCGTGCGCGGGGTGTGGATTGGTGTAGGCTTCGGCTGCTTTCGCACCCGGAAGGCACCAACCTGGCAAACAAGGAGGGGGTTGGGTCAAGGGCTTGGGGTTTAGAGTTTAGGGTTATTTAGGCAATCTTGGAGGGCGTGCCTGACGTACTGCACTCGTCCTTCCGAACTCCTTAAACTCCCAACCCCCGAAATCCAAAACCCTAAACCCCATACTTAGCCTACAAGCCTTGCGCCCTTTAAGCCAAAGCATCGTGGAACGTCTGATGCTTAGGGTTTGGAGTTCAGGGCTTATAGGTTTTGCAGGGGTTTATGCTACATAGGTGTACTTCGACATACCCTACACCCTAAACCCTGACCCCTAAACCCTGGACCCCTAGACCCTAAACCTTAAGCCCTGACCCTGAACCGTTAGTCCGACACTTAATTAAGACAGACTGCGGGGTCTAGGGGCGTCGTGCTGTCTGCAGATAAAAATCTTAAATGCTACTTGCTGTACACCACCACGATATTCATGTTGCTGAAGCACAAGGGCGGCTTAAACCAGCACAAATCCGCTGCCAGATGTGACTCTGACCCAAAATGCCTACCGCGGCACAGATCACTACCAGGTTGCAAGCCGGCCAACAACTGATGCTCATGATCCTGGCCCGTTTGCCGTTGTCTAGGATTTGCTTGATGATACCTGACCTCATAAAACACTCACCTTTGCGAGCCTCTCAAACACCAAGCCCTACTCAGACTAATTAATGACCTTAATAACTAGAATATGGGGCCCATTATTATACTCTAATTATGCTAAGGAACCCTCAAAATAGTCTTGCTTATTCTTCGGGCCCGTGTAGTGCGAACCATACACCCCCCCGCAAGCTCCTCTTCATCGTCGCGCTCGGCTTTCCATTGTTCGGCCTGCCGGAATTTTCAATCAGTTCAACCCGTCTACTACAGGAGTTCAGGGTTTAAGGGTTTAGGGCTGCTGCTGCTACCACTGCTGGTGCCACCGGCCGAGCCCGTCAATGCTGGAATGGAGCCTTAGGATACAGTAAGTTCTGGACCAGACGGCCCTAAAGTCCAAATCCCAGAAAAAACTTCCCCCCGGCGCCCCCCCCCCCCCCTGCACCCATGCACTGTAGCTGCTGCTGAGAACCGAACCGAAAGCCTCCCACATCCTGAAAGACAATTCCAAGAAGCTTTAGACATCTATACACCCCCAAGCCCGGCAAAGCAGAACCCCCCCCGCTCCCCCCCCAAACCCAAACGCGAAAGTGGCCTTGGTGGGGGCTGACCATAGGTCGAAAACCTCTTGATTGGCTTTTGGCTTCTGCCGCTGCCTCCGACGTGTTGCGCTCGCGTGCGAGTTAACACTTAGGCTGGCAACCTCTAACATATACAGAGTGTAGCAAAACTCTCACCAAGCATACCTGACTCTAAACCCAAACACTAAGTGCTCAAATTGTAAACCCGAAACCCTATGGAAGCATATATTGTCTTAAAGTCCGGCCGTGGGGGCAGGTGGAAACGTGTGAATTCAATAACATGCTCCCGGAAAACTTTTGGGTCAATTTCTTTTTGAACGGGAACGGCACTGAGGGGTGTGTGAGTGATATACAGTTCCACATTTCGGTGATGTCACTTTTCAACCCTATATAAGGTAGACGGTAAGCTCCATTATACCCCATAACACTGTTCAGCTCCATTATACCCCATAACACTATTCAATCACTATTCGGATCGTTAAGGTGCTAAAGCGATTTGGAGCTTCAAGATCTGGAGCCAAAGCGCTACCGACGTAGTGGCGTAGGCTTGCACTTAACCCTAAACCATACAACCCTAAAACCTAAATTTAGGACCCAAACCCCGGAACCCTAAACCCTAAACCTTAAACCTAAACCCCAAGCCCCAAACCCTAAACCCGAAGCTTGCATCTCTGACCCTCGCCAAAAGAGTCTGTCCGGGCCCTCTCCTGAGGTACGTACCTGGGTTTAGGGCTTGCATGGGTTTACCGTTGCTGAGTTCATAAGCCCCCCAAAAGTGTACACTTTCGGTTTTATAGTAGGTAAGATTATCCCAAGACGTGTAAAGTGAATCTACCTGTTTAAGGACTGACGTAAGGAACGCATGGTTATAGGACCCTAAATAAACGCTAGGTTTCTGGGCTCCAGGTAGCCATTTTGCTACTCGTAGTCCTTCCTAGCAGTAACTTTACAACATCATCAACCAACCTTCGCCAAATCCCTTCCCCCTAATATTCAATCCCCCCTAATATAGGAACCCCCGGCCCCAGGAATTTTGCGATTTCGGGCCCAAATGGAAAGTTGATCAAAAACAGTAGGGGGGCTAGGACTGTCTTAGTTTTATTAATAGAGTCAAAGACTACAGCAGTACTAATCCAACCGAAAAGACCAGAGCTTTAAGGTTTATGGGTTTAGGGCTTAAGCTTTAGGGCTTTAGGGCTTTGGGGCTTTAGGGTCTAGGGCTTTAGGGTTTAGGGAGGGACTGTCTGCTCTACCGCCGGAACGGCTGCGTGATGGGCAGTCTTTGCGTCTGGCTCATTATTAATCTCAGTTCCCAGATGCCCCGAAACCCCCGCTAATATAACAACTCTCGGCCCCGAAATCCAGTTTTATATTAGGGAGGGGGGCGGGGTTAATATTAGGGGGAAGGGATTACGCCAACAACGCACACCAACAACCAAGGGCACCTAAAGGCACACTTCCGACGCGCAGTTTCATAGGCAGGTAAAAGATCATGATCTCATACTTGCTGCACCGCTCGCAGAGGTGCTTCAAAAAACTGAGCGCAACCAACCAACCAACCTAAGCCCCCCAAAAGGAACTACAATGGATACTAGAAGTAAATCCTACCTGTAGCCGAAAAAACCTACCGTTTTGGGATTCCAAGGACCAAAACCCGAAACCGTCGCGAGCTGAGGACCTGTTCTCCAGGGTCTGCGCGGCTCGGGCAACTTTGGCCTGCTTCCCAAAAGATTTTGCGGGGAATACCTATAGTCTCCATTGTAGTTCCTTTTTCTGGTTAAGCGGTTTTATGGTTTGGAACCTATAATAGAGATTTTGGATAACCACAAAAAGGAACTACAATGGAGACTATAGGTAGGGTTGGAATAGAGTTCAGGTTCCGGAGGCACCCTCAGGGGGCTTAGGGTTCCTTGAAAGGGATCTATAAGGGCTTAGGGGTTCCTTTAAGGGTTCCTTTAAAGGGATCTATAGGGGTTCAGGGTTTATGCAGGCAGTCGTGGGACGATCCAGAAGCGAATCACTTGTGGATCAACTACATAAGGTATGAAGGCTCAAAGGATCTAAAGATCAGGGTTTGGCTTACGTGTTTTTTTAAGTGCAGTAGTCTCTTTCATTTTGCAGGAGCAGGTGAAGCTGGCCCAAAATTTAGCCGGTTTAGTGGGTTTAGGCTTTAGGGTTTAAAGGGGTTTTGGGATGGTTTGGGGGTTTAGGGTTTAGGTTCCTTGAAAAGGCTCTTTTGCAGGAGTATGATGACGAGGACATGAAAAAAGGCCTTAACAATGATATCAATGCATTCAAGACTATATTCCGATCACTGGACTTGGGGCCCATTATACTACGTAATCATAATAAGGAACCACCAAAACAATATTATAAATTACTCAGGCCCCCATATTGGGAGTTTTCGAACATGGGGGACCCTAATAAACTACCCTAAACAGTAGGATCCTTATTATAAGGACCCCAAGATAAGGTACCCCTAACTTTCGGAACCCCCCACCCCCCCCCCCCATATTAGGGGTCTTTCGAGTTTAGGGTCCCCTCTATTATGGTAGCCTTATAGACCCCGCTTAGTCGGAGGCCTCACAAGGTGGGATGAAGGTGGGATTAAGGATCCCTTATATAAGGACCCTTATTTGGGAATATCCCACCTCCTTCACCCTACCTTTTGAGGCCCCCGATTTAAACCCTAGGCCCTAAATAGTACTGGCCGCTTTTAGGGATCGGGGGTCTCGATTTTCACGGCTTCAGGTTTTAAGGCGTGTTGCGCTATGCACACGGCCAGGGCTTTCAAATCTGCTGGGGTTTACCTGGACCCTAAGGGACCTACATGTTCAGGGTGCCTTGGTATGATTATGTAGTATAGTTTTAGGGTTTAGGGTTTAGGGTTAAGGGTTTAGGGTTTAGGGTTGAGGGTTTAGGGTTGAGGGTTTAGGGTTTAGGGTTGAGGGTTTGGGGGTTGAGGCTTGGCAGTCAAGCCCCAACTTCCCCAGCACTTGGCATTAAACCGCTTATGACAACACAACACGTCCATATCAGCAAGGTTACCTATTGGCGGAAATGCCGAAACCACGGAAGGCAGGACATCACGGACGACATGGAAGAAGGATGATGAGAGTGCTTGATAGGCTACGGCAGCTGTCAGATCGTGAGCTTGGCGACCTTGCACCTCAACCAAGGTGACCAAGGTTTCTCCTTTCTCAACGATCGAGACCGTCGCGGGGTCTGCCACGTGTTTGTCCCACCCCACACGGGCTTCTGCCAATGTGTGGTAAACCTTCAAGCTCATCTCCTGCTGGGCCCACTTCTTGAACGGGATGTAGTTGGTCACATCATCCCGTAAGGAGGACACGTCTCGGCTTTCTTCGACGCTTCCTACCGCCGAAGAAAACGTCCACCCCCCCCCCCCAAATCTACCTTAAACTTGAGCCTACCCAGAGGCCCCAAAGTAGTTCTTTTTGGGGGTTCATATATAGAATTCTATAAGGTAATCCCCAAAAGGAACTACTTTGGGGCCTCTGGGTAAACCCTTGCCTTCCTAATCCCTGAAATCAAAAAAAACCACAAAGCTCATCTTCGCACCCAGTTACGTTTCAACAACAACAAAGCTGATGGCTAAACTTCTTATTTTTGCTCAACCCTGAACCCTAAACCCTACAAGCCCTCAACCGTTAAGCTAACCTAAACACTAATCCCCAAAACCTACCCTAAACCCCAAACCTCAAACCCTTAAACCCCAAACCCGTAAACCTGAACCCCCAAAACCTAAAACCTTAAACTATGGGCCCGGCACCTCCTCAAAGCCAGATAGACCCAGGTCCGGCCCTTTCTCCTGGGATCGAAGGATCTCGCACACGGGTTCCCGTAAAGGGTGCCGTAGGGCTCTATAGGGTCCTCTTTAAAGGGTGCTGTAGGGGTATCCGGGTATCCTTCAAATCTACTTTTTACTAAGGTTTCCTTGCAAAGGTGGTGTAGGGTTGTATAATAAGGTCCCTTTAAGGGCTTCTGTTTGCTCCTTTATTAAGCTTCTTAGCTAAGGCTTGATATGGTTTACTATTCATTAAAGGGGTTGTTGCAGACTTCAGGGATTGCGGTACAGGTCAGCACAACAGAGGGTGATTCGCTTTCTGTCTAGCTTGCTTGCTGAACGTAGACGTTGCCATTAGGCATTCTCCGCTGGTTTACCTGTGGTCCAAAACGCTACATGCTTCGGGTTCAAATTGTGATTTCTTCTTTATAACCCGGTTAAAGAAGTAGGTTTTGGGGGCTACAGGTAGGGCGGGTTGAAGCGCGAGGGCTCCTCTGAAGGGAGTATCCTTTGAACAGAAAGCCCGTTAACCAGAGGCTCCTAAGTACCTACATAGCAGAAAGCAAGGTATCCATAGCAGGAATTACCACTGAGGGTTAGTAAGTGTCCCTCTACAGGTACCTGGGACAGTTTGGGATACCCCTTTTCAAACAAATTGCCAAACTATACCACTGCAGCGAGAATTCAGAACTCTACCCCGGAACCCTCGACCCCGAATCATGGCCAATAATAGCCCAAACCGAAAGGTAGTGAGTCGGAGGTGGCCATCCAAGACGTTCCCTCGAGTCTGAAACAACTGCTTGCCGCCAGGGGTTCTCTGAAGATCTTAGCACGTGCGACCTCCTTGCGTGACCTGAGCGATAGTCAAATTCGACGGTTAAGGCTGAAGGGTTCCCACAGATCCCAATACCCCTTAATTAAGGAATATGCCTTAAATTCTAGGGGGCTTCATATTATGGTTTAAGGTATATTGCTTACTTAAGGGGTATTGGGTTCTCTGGGCTCCTTACTTCAAGGTTACTATATAGTACTGGAATCCCTTGGGCTCCCAGTAGCCCAATGTAGGTCGTATTTATAGACTTTGGACACCAAGGTCTATAGGGTTTAGGGTTTAGTACACTATGTAAATACTCGGAGTCCTTGGGAAAAGGCACGCCAATTAAGTCATCATAAAAAGCCAAAGCATCTAGTGTTTTGCTACACATGCCAGTTATTGTAAAGGAGCTATGTTCCTCAACAAGACCTCGCTACTTGCTGTCCGGTATCCTGGCGAAACTGCATTTAACAGTGGAGAGAATTTCTCAATGCCACAACCTTTGCTTAACCTAACCCCAGGGGTCCAAGTACCTAATAGTCATATACTCTCATAAATCCTAACCTACACAACTATTATCCTAAAACCGAGTACCGAATTTTTGGGTCCCTTGAACCCTTGAACTAAAGTCATTAATTAGCCAGTGTACTTCCAACTGACGGACACAGGTGCGACGCACCTCAGCTGCCCGAAACCCAAAACCCTAAGTCCCGAATCCTGCGCTATGCGAAACTGTGTTCTTGTGAAGGAGTTTAAGCTAAGTTACCATACTAAAGACACCATATTATTTTCAAAAGATCCCCATGTTTTGGCAGCTTAAGTGATATTCCGTAACAAGAACCCAGGAAACCCTATACTTCCAACCGCAAGGAACTTCTGGGCATCTGGCGCCTGTGACAAGCCTTCGCAGGACCTAGGCGCAACGTTAAACAAGGGTTCAGGGTCTGGGGTGAACGGCTTTAAAGGGTTCAAAAGGGTTGGGGCTTTGCCCCGTTGTTACCAAACCGTAAACCCTAGACCGCAACCCAAAAGCCTGTGTTCACGAAAACCCTAGTCAATCCTAGCCAAAACTACCATGCGCCCATAAGTTGGGCTTCTGGTCCAGGGTCTGCGCCAGAAGCGAGAATCTCCGACTTTACATAGGTGCTTGAGTTTAAGGGTTTTTAGGGTGTCCCATTTGTCCTCGATTATGGTAGAACTTGACGATATAAATTTTCGAGATCTGTACTAGCTTTGCTGTTTCGGCAAGATTCCCAAAGGGTCCTATATACCGATACAGTAGAATGTAGGGTTTCCATATCAAGAGTAACTATTATGACTTAGGGAAGTATCCCCCGTAACAGTACTTAGGACACTTTGGGTTTGGACTCAGCTTGCACTTCAACGGACCGTTGCCTGTGGTTTGAAGTTTGCTCTTCCACCGTATCCCCTGTCGCTTCATGCTCTGTCATCTATAAACCAGGCTAATGTAGGAACCTGATTAAGAAACCTTGGGCCTTTATTCGGGCTCCTTATCCTTCTATTTTGGGGTTATAGGCTCTGGGTTTATTAACCAGGTTCCTACATTAGACATCTCTGGGTGTGTATATATATATATAGGGAGAGCAACTTTCTACAATGGTGCGGGGATTGAAAGGGATGGTTAACAGTCATAAGATGGAAGCCGAATGGAGTGGACTTCGCGACTAGGGTCTTGTTCTCTCTTCCTCAACAACCCGGGCCCAAAAGTTCAAACTTTCTAAGATCGAGCTAATACATAAGGCCAAAAAGTCTAAAGTTCCCCCGTTCACCATCTAACTATTCAGACCCTTCTGCTGGGGGTTCGGGAGATGGGGATTGGCTTGACCATTTCGTGTCGCTTTGCCGGATTCATCCGTAGAACAGGAACGTTCCGGTGGTTTAGAAAGCTTGGGCTCTTACTCTAGGGGCCTTCAGAAATAGAGCGGGGTTCCCCGGATCGAGGTAATTCTAGCGGTCACCCTCCCATTCTCTGAAGCTCTTCTCATACTTTGCAGGACTCGTTCTTTCTGTCTGTGGGTGAAGAGAACGATAATTTTGAAGACTGTGAATGTGTGAAGAGAATGGAAACCCAGGGCATAGAGTAATCGTAGCCAGCTCCGGAGAACTTCGTGCTCGACCCACTTGGAACCCCAAGCAAGCTAGCCACATGATCTAATGTAGCAACCTGGTGAAGAAACCCTGGGCATAACACCAAAATAGAAGGATTCAGAGAAGGAGCCCTAAAAAGGCCCAAGGTAATGGGTCCCAGGGCTCTTAAGGAATTTGATTTAAGACCCCATAATAGGGATCTATAGTAAATAGATATGGTGTCCCCATATTATGGCAAAGGAAACAAAAAGTCTTAGCAAGAGCCCAGAAAGTTCAAAAACTCAGAGCCCCATGCCTCGATACTGTTGATGGACAAAATCCTAGGGTTCCGAAAGAAGGGATCTATAAGGATGCCTTTAAGGGGCTCCTTTAAGGGATCTATAAGGGATCTATAGGGTCCAGGGTTTAGGGTTGATGATATAAATCCTGCATGACCTTAAGGACCCTAAACTATGGGAACCATGGTATATTCCTTATAATGGGTAATGCAGGAGTTTGTCCATCAGCAGTAGTATACTGGGCCTTGCTTGTACCCTGCAGCCATAAACTTGGATGCCCAGTAACCTAGGAATAAAAACGGCTCCCTTTTTTGGTATTGGGTGACTTTATAAACAGCCTCAAAAAGGGAATAAGGGTACTACTGGGCTTCCTCGTAGAAGCCCGAGAGCCAGGTCCCAAAGCTAGGGTTTAGGGTTCCCGCAACAAGATTGGAACAACCATACAGGAGCCCTACAAGCTTTATTCCAAAAAAACTCAAGGCTCGGAAACCCGGGACGGTCGGGTCGGCGACCCCTTCGTGTCCACGGTAAACAACGCGTCTAAGTCATCCTGGTCCTTGTTGGATCCCTTCATGGCCTGCGACGGAGGGAAGGCTTGCAGCAGGTTTCTCGGTTTTACGATGGCGTGATCAAGGTTCTCAGAAGGATGCTGTGATGTTTTGTTGCACCTGCATCGAGGGGTTTAAGATTCAGGGCCCTAAACCAAACTCGTTGGCAGCTACACTGTAACTGCCCAGTGGTTTTGGGGTTCCCTTGGCTCTTTAGCTCCCTATATAATAGCGATTATCATCATCCCTAGCTCCTTAACTCCTCCAATATCAATGGTTAGGTAATCCTAAGCAAGTCAATGAACTGGGTCCTTGTGGTTGCCTGGAGGTGTTTCCCTCTGGCGGCAGACAGCTTAGCAGAAGGAGCTTTTGGGGTAGACTGTAGCTCAATCAAATTAGTTGCCGAGTTCATAAGCCCAAAAAGTTTAAACTTTCAGTTTTAGACAGGGTTCCTTCGGGGGGGGGGGGGGGGGTGCTACCTGAAGCCAGCAAACGGTGGATCCATGGGGTGGGGGGGGGGGGGGGGGGCACCATATAGCCATATATATATATATATATGTGCATAAATATAATATAAATATAAATATATATATATATATATATATATATATATATATATGGTGCCCCCCCTGCTGGTTGCTGGCTCAATAACCACCGTGAAAGGTGGATCCTTCGGGGGGGGGGGGGTAGCTATATATATATATATATATGTAGATATTTACACATCTGAGAAGGCAACTGAACTTCAGTGGACTTCTAGCACTCGTCTGCCTTCATAATTCGAGCAGGGTTTGGGGGTAAGGCCTCCTTCTAGGGTTTAGGGTAATAACATTGCGACCTGTCCGGATTCCTATCAGCTTTAGGCTATACCAGGATGCGTGCGCTTCGGAAGACACCGGTTTTACATACAAACCTGCGATACGAACCAGAAGACCTGCAAGCACAATGAGCTCCCTGTAAGCCCTATGGTGCCCTGTAATGCGTCGGAGCTCTAAAAATCCCCACTTGCCAAGGCCCAGATCCGAAACTCCTCAACCCGAATAAACTATGCCCTATATACATCCTATACCAAAATAAACGTAAACCTTCAGAGCCTGAACCGGAGACGTTGGCCCTGTATTTAGCCTTTCGGGCTTAGGTTAAGGGTTGGGGTTTACCCAAAGGCCCCAAAGTAGTTCCTTTTTGGGGTTCATATATAGAATCCTATAAGGTAATCCCAAACAGGAGCTACTTTGGGGCCTCTGGGTAAGCCCTATATGCCCTAACCCCCCCAAAACCCTAAACCCTAAACCATAAAACCCTAAAGCCCTAAACCCTAAACCCTAAACCATAAAACCCTAAAACCCTAAACCCTAAACCTTACTTTGGGGCCTCTGGTTTAGGGTTCAGGGATAGGATCCTGATTCCCCTGCACTCTCCGCGATGTTTTCATGGCCCACTTGTGGCAGCGTCATCCGATTGGAGTTGCTATCGGAGTCCCCAAAGTAGGGTTTAGGGTTTTAGGGTTTTAGGGTTTTAGGCTTTTAGGGTTTTAGGGCTTAGGGGGTTTAGGGCATATAGGGCTTACCCAGAGGCCCCAAAGTAGTTCCTTTTAGGGAATACCTTATAGGATTCGATGTATAAACCCCAAAGAGGAACTACTTTGGGGCCTTTGGGTATCGGAGACCACAGTCTGAGGCCTAAATTATGAACGTGCGATCGTTGCTGTAGGGTTTAGAGCTTGGGTCTGTTTTTGGGGGTCTGCGTTTCGGTCGAGCTTATTCGGATCTAGGGTTTAAGGTTTAGGGTTTAGGGCTCAGGGTTTAGGGTTTCGGTTTAGGGTTCGGATCCTTCCGGATTGGGGCGGCAGGTTAAGTGTCGAATCTTGCGGCTGAGTCCGGCCCGACACCACAGGGAGAAGCGGACCGTTTAGAGTTTAGGTCTAGGGTTTAGGATTTTTAAGGGTTTAGGGTTTAGGGTCTTTGGGGGTTTAGGGTTTAGGGTTTTTTAGGGTTTAGGGTTGTGGGTTTAGGGCTGAGGGACAAGAGCCCACGGTTTATGGCATTAGGGGTCTAGGGGACCCCGAAAACGTCCGGCTAGGAATGGCTTGGATCGCGCTGGCAAACCGCCATCACATTAAAGAGGGTCAACTCTCTCACGGCTGGAAAGGCTGGTGTGGCGGGAAGGGCGATCAACACCTGAATAGTTCAAGTGGTGCACCAAATGTGACCGTAGGTATGGGTTACTCCTTAATAGCTAACCCAGCCTCCTGATCCTCCAAGTGCATGGTCACTGAACTATCGTTATCCGCGCACGAGAATCTTTCCGGCTCGTGAATCAATCCAGAATCCTAAGCCCCATAATGCCGAAACCCTGAACCTCAAGCCCAAAGCACTAAACTAAGCCCTAAACCCTGAGCTCTGAACCCTTAACCCTGAACCCCAAACCCAGAACCCGTAACCCCGAACCCGAAATCCCAAACCCTAAACCCTTACATTTAAAATACCATAATAAGGAAGCCATATATCATTTTTTAAACAAGCTTCCTAGTATGGTAACTTAAATTAAGTTCCCTAACAAGAACTCCGTAGATGCCCTTATCAGTACTCCAAGGGTCCCATCACTCAGCTTAGGAAAGGTAATTTTTAGTAATTGTGGGAGTACAAACTCCTTCGGCCCCAAACGTAACTCTTCAGCTTTTGCGTTCGCACTCTAGGGCTTTATCATCAGGTACTTGGAATCTTCCTAGTTCGGGAAAACCTAAACCCTAACCCTAAACCCTACCCAAAGGCCCCAAAGCAGTTCCTTTTTGGGATTACCTTATAGGATTCAATATATGAACCCCAGAAAGGGACTACTTTGGGGCCTTTGGGTCAAGTATTAAACCCGAAAATCCTCAACCCAGGAACCGCTGACATGGTATTTCATGTGTACTTGGAGGGTCGGGGGACTTCGTAACTGGTTTTTTTAAGGACTTATAAATACCATAACCCCAATTAGGGTCCCCTTTAGGGTACTTATAGGTCTACTTACTGCCTACTTACTAAGTCCCCCGACCCTCCTAGTAGTTGTCAAAATTAGGGTCCCTTTTTGGGTACCTTAAATATTAGGTGCCGTATTATAATCGGGACCCAAAAAGGGACCATAATGTTGACAACCACCCATGTCCGAGCCTACGATCTCTACGAGACAAGGCATCGTATACGGGCCTTACCACTTAAAACACAGTTCTTTTTTCCGGGATTCCAAAGCGATTCTACGTGTGAAATGGGTATACTTAGATGACGGCTCTACAGTTAGTTATATTATATATAATCACTTATAAACGGGAATCGTGTCAGTAATTTTCACACCCCTGATATTAACGGCGGAGGGTAAGTTTCTGCCAGGATAGTTCTCCAAAAAGTAAGGTCCCCTTTTGGGTCCCCAAACGAGTACGGCACCCTTATGAAAAGGGCCCTTACCCAAAATACCCACTATTCAGAACCACAAGGGCTCTATCAAAGGGTTTTTGGGGGCTCCTGGTATACCCTACCCAAAGGCCCCAAAGTAGTTCCTTTTTGGGGGTTCATATAATATATAGAATCCTATAAGGTAATCCCAAAAAAGACCTACTTTGGGGCCTCTGGGTAGCCTAAACCCTTCACACCTAACCGACTCTTGACTTGGAGGCACGGGAGCCCAGGTTTCAGAGTGTAGGGGTGTTAAGTAATGAGAATAGGGGTTCCTTGAAAGGGGTCTGGAAGGGTTACTATAAGGGACCCATAAAGGTAATAAAATGCAGGGGCCTTAGTAATAATCAGAATGGGGTTTCGGGGCATATTTTTTGGAACCCCCCAAATAGTATTATAGTATAGGGGCCGAGGGTGGAGCTTGAAGACTCCTTCCTTTTGGGAGTTTGTCGTTCAGCTACTGGGGTTTAGGGTTTAGGTCTTATTAGGGGTTTAGAGGTTTTGGGTTTAGGGCTTATTAGGGGTTTAGAGGTTTTGGGTTTAGGGCTTATTAGGGGTTTAGAGGTTTAGGGCTTGCGGAATTGCTTATGTTCCGAGTTCGTCGTGTGATATAGGTGCCGAAGAAGGCGAGTGCTCTGCTGCTGGGTTACAGCCCGCCGTGTGAAAGCTAGCCCAGAGAGGAAACCCTAAACTCTACAACGTGTGCGAAGCCATTGAGCTTTGCATATCTGTTCTGTCGTCGAAGTGACGTGAAACGAGCATCTGCCCTTTTGGGGGAAGTGACACAAATTAAACCTGGGGCAGCAGTCAAGTGGTTCCGCGACTGGGTTCGGCGCTTCATGGTCTCGTATATGCACAGACGTCTCAGTAAGTAGGGTTTATAGTTGGGAAGCAATGTAAGCATCTCTGCTCTGTGTACTTGCAACCCTAACTATAAACACGTATAGTCCTGAACCGTATAAAGCCTAAGGCCGTATAAGTATAAGAGACTTATATCCTGAATGCTACTTATTCAGGGCTGCTTGGCTATCCAGGCAAAACAAAGTCTACCCGGACCCAAATAACCTCATGCCTTTGGGGTTTTTCTGTAGCGCAGGCTAAGCGCTTGGGGGGTTAGGGCTTAGGGTATGGGGGGGCCTGGGATTTAGGTTTTACGGTGCTAGCACAGCCTCAGGAACGGGAACAAGAAACAGTACGGCAGTGTTACCACATCCTTGCTTGCAGCAGAAGATATGTGCACCGATTCCTGTGAGATTTGCTGGCTCGTGTATTGCATGTGCAATCTTTGAAAAGTAAGTAAACCTGTGGCACATAACTACAAACTGCAAGCCCCAAAACAAATCCCTGAGGTCGTCAGCATTGTGCCGTTCAGGTTCAGAACTGGGATTTTGGTGCTGTTTAGGGTTTTCAGAACTGGGATTTTGGTATTGTTTAGGGTTTTCAGAACTGGGATTTTGGTGTTGTTTAGGGTTTAGGTCTTGCGGTTTGGGCATTCTGCCCCGCCCAGGCTTGCTGTTAGGGAAAAACACGATTCGCGCTTCCGAAGGACCTCCATGCACTGGCTCAGCTGCGGGGGAAGTCCTCGCATTCCCTAC